TCAACAGAGTTGTTGCGTTTTTTCTTTCTGTGTGCTAACAATTTTGGCGGTGTTTCCGTATTGTAGCATTTCTGTAAACAATTTCTGTTACCAAGGTCTGCGCCGAAATTGTCAAAAACAGAAATTGTTTGCTGGGTATATATACATATATGTATATACAATATACATTTGTGTGTCTCTTTATGTTTAGTTATCAAAATTAAAAATACATACATCAATGGAATTGCTAAAAGTTGCCAGAAACCGCAGAACGGGACTTTTTGCTCTGCCGCAATAGGCGGCTGGTGCCATAGCAAACATTGCTTCAATCTTATCTTGATATTCAAATCGTTCTGACGCCATAACAAAAAAACTGGTAGTGCCCTCACTATGTCCCAAGTAAAATAACTTTTCACGTCTAGTAGTTTTCAGTATATAATCTATTGTTGCGGGAAGATCGCGAGTGCCGATCTCGTGCCAACTGCAACGTGCACAAGAAAGAAGAAAGATGTAAATTGTCTTTAAAAAAATTATTTTATTTTTCTTTTTATTGCTTTATTTATTTCATTAATAACTAGAATTTTTTTCTGATAATTTAATTACATACCCACACAGACATCCATCCATCCAGACATCCATTAGACATCTATTAGATGTCGCATGGAGCTGTCGACGTCTAATAGAGTTTTTGCTCTGTGTGGGTAGTTTATACAAGGAATAGCTTCAGTAATGTGAAATATAATTGTTTGGAACAAATAATTTTCTATTATTGTACATCACTGATAATAAAAATATAGTATAATATATATCATCCATAATATAAAAGATTACTCATGTATGCAGATATAAGCATGTATTATCTTCTCATATGTATCATATCTAAATAGAATGCGAAAGAGTTTATGAAAATTCTAGAAAAATGATTATCCCTAGAAAAAATAATGCAATGTGTTAACATGCGTTTTTGCTTATAATCTAAATACACCTTTGTTTTTATTCTGTAATTAGCGTTTTCAAAAAATAACACATGAATGAATTTAACATTTTGCATTATATGAATAGAAGAGTAAAGTATTGTAATATCTGATAAATGTTTGATCTTGTGGCAGTGTTATTGCAAAATATGTTTTTTAAACATGTAAATTAATACACATACAAATTTAAAATTAAATTTAATCCGAAAATTTATTTATAAGATGCTTACTGTGCATCTTATATACAGAATACCTGAAAAATTTAGACACAAACGAAGTGTGAAGGTAGATTGCGTCAATCGGAACAGAAAAGTCATGTACCATTTTGCAACATTTGCAATAGTTATTGAATGATTAATTATATATATATATATAATACATATGATCCAATGAACGCGTAGATTCGGACTCTGTAGGCGTGTATGATATTTAATTGTAAATAAAAATGGCTTATTTTATGCAATCTAACAGCAAGAGGCGAAACAAACGAGCAAATGGTGTGACACTTCTTGCTATCAGCTGATTTTCACAACTGAAAATCATGCACAACTCTGCACAGTCCAAACTATCGTTTCACAAGCGCTCATTCCCATGGGTCACATGTATTAACTAATCACTCAATAACTATTGCAAATTTTGCAGTAATACATGACTTTTCTACTTATAGATTGACTCAATCTATTTTCACACTTCGGCTGTCAAAATTTTTCAGACACTTTATATTTTGATGCTGAAATTTCCTTATTTTAGGAAAGAAGGACTTATATTTACATATATGGTAATCCTCACCTAAAGTCCCAGTATTCTTTGTCTAGTACGGACAAATCTGTATGCTTGCGAGAATACGTAGTACCACGTGCGTTACCAAGCCACACATCATATCCCGCATCTGCCAAAATGAAAGCTGAAAACATTTTTATAAGAATATTATTTAAAATAAAATAATACTGGAGGCAAATATATTGAGTCATTTAAGTATAAAACTTGACAAATATATATTTATGTATATATGTATATACATATTTGTCAAGATTCACATATTTAATGACTCAATTCAATACCGTGTTAAATATTGTATTAAAATATAAATGCTAAGAAGATTGGATTAAATTTTTTATCTCTATTTTTTATTTTTAATTCTAGTGCGATCTTTATTTACACACATACAAATACATATATATACATATACAGGGTGTCTGATAAAGACCGTATCATAGCTCTAGACAGATAGAAAGAATTATTCTGAGAAGAAAAGTCATTTACCATTTTGCGAGATTCGCAATAGTTAACGAGTTTTTAATAAATAAAGATCCGCGAATGAGCGTGCAGCCACGTGCAAAATGACAACTCTAAGCTGTGTGTCCGAGGACTTTTCTTCTCAGAATCACCCTTTCTATCTGCTTACGAGCGGTGATTTATCAGACACCCTGTATATATGTATATATATATACACGTGTATATACATAAAATTGATAATATTTACTCTTTTTAATTTAAATATAAGATTGTAACTGTATAATATTACTTTATTGTAAAAGAAAAGGACTTTAAGTTATAAAGTAATTATTTTGTAAAAAATTAGCGTTTTGTACCTAATCCTTTTTCGGGTCCGGGTAAGACCCAAACCGCCGAATTGCACAAAAGACCGTGCATCACAAATGCAACTGGTTTTTGTATATGTAAATCACTAGAATTAGCTTTTCCAGTTATGCGATGCAATTCCAAAACGTATCCGTCAAAAGTAATCACTTTGTGCAGCTCGCCGTTATAGCCGTACTTTTTTACTAACTCTAACTATACAATAAAAATAAGATCAGAGTAAAAAACTCAATTATATGGTTGTAAAAAATTGACTTTGAACTAAGTTTTAACATAGATATTTAATATACAAGATGTTTTTCAAACCAAATAATTAAAATAGTGAAGATTAATTTTCGATTTTATGAGTTACTGTTTTAAATGTTCATGCGAAATATATTTTTATTTTATTTGAAACATGTAAATTAATACACCTAGCAATTTCAAATAAATCTAAATCGTAAATTCATCTAAGATGCTTGATCACGTATAGATGGAAAATAACTATTTAATAGGATTTGTAATAATAAGTAATTTGTATTTAATTAATAGCATTTATACTTAAATATCTATTCAATGAATGCGGGAAGTCCAGGTTAGACTCCTGATCAAAGTGTCTTTTTCGCAATAGATTTTTTAAGTTTTATGAGAAAGAAAATTAGTATTTCATCTATATTTGATGCAAACCATCCTAAATAAGTTTTTAATTTGAATTTATTTTAAATTAATATAGATAATAATTAATCATTATAATAATTAATTATTGTTACGTGTATTTAATTTAAAAGTTTCAAATAAAATAATAGAAATGTTTTGCAAACGAATATGTAGCATATTGTTTACTAAACCAAATAAATCTTTACTAGTTTAAAATTATATAAAATGAATCAAAACATGTGAAATTTGTTGTACATTTGTAAATAATTAAATTTAGTGTAAAAAGAAATGTAAAAATAAAATCGTTTTAAATTTAAATTTGGTTATATATATTTTTTTTCGATTAATATAGTCAAACAAATAGGAATTGTTCAAGAAATTATGATAGTTTTAACCGATAAAATTTCTCAAGATTTATATATTTTATATATTTTTAACTTTACTATTTTCAATTTTTGTTACACAAATACGACTGGAAAAAATTGCACTCACAGTAGTAAGTGTCTCGTCCACATTCAAACTCACATTCGAAGTCACATTATTTGCACTAATTGTTAGTAATTTATTTATCAATTCAAGACCCGGTATTTCAGGTAATAAATTATGCGGCAATGCATTCGTTGATGCTAAGATAAAACAAAATGTTAACAGTAACATTGCTGGTGCTCGATGAAATCGTGTCGTGCAAATTGATGCAATTGATGAAATAAATTACGTCTGATTTTCTTTTTCAACGCACGTATATATATACACATTGTATCGCCGAAGTGTTTGCTGTTTTGCATGACTAATCGTATCAAGTCATCTGATAATCTCCTGTAATTCTCGATTTGATAATGCTAATCGACGCAATGAACTGATTGAAAGAATTCGAAAAAAAGTAAAATAAAAAGGATCTTATCCAAATAAAAATAAATTATTTATCTTCGAGATAATGCCTTATAATTAAGATCTCCGCAAACAATTTCTGAATGTGCAGACTTGGCAAACAGAGAATATTTGCTGAAAGACTGCCATAACGAAACATGTTTTGGTACTACCAAAACTGTTAACACACGCAGACAAAAAACCCAACTTCACAAAACACGTGAAAGAATACAATAGAACTCCAGTAATTTCAAGTATTATGATCTCTACTTTTCCTTTATGGACGTGTTGAGTAAAAAATATGTTAACTAAATGCGTTTAGTTGGCAGACAATCATCTAAAGTAATTGTGTTTTTGCAAGCATATGGCAGTAAAGATAATAAATCTATATAAATTGAACTAATATAAACATTTAATTTACTAAACATATAATAAACATATCTAATTTACTAAATTATAAATTCTCATGTTGAAATTATGAAGAAATAGATTTTGTTGATTTTTTAATGAAAGCTATAGAAATCAAAGAAGTTAACTGTTGCAGAAACAACACACATTGAACCAGCTCTCGATTTTGAAGAAAAAAAAGAAAAATATCTAATTTTTTATTTAACATTTGGAGATGTTTTTCGGTGATACTATATCAGGCTGCTCTTGAAATCCTGATGAAGTGAGCTGAAATGTTCACGAAACGTCGGTATAAAAATGACACTAACATTAAGAAATTTTTATTTATTGCCACAAATGTTTTCTATCTACATAACATACTGAAAATGGAAAAAATTGTGAAGACGATAGAAAGAAATAAGTAAGACCAGATAACATAACAAATAAAACCATTGATAGTAAAAAAATGAGCAAATAATAATGTAAAAACAACTTTTGCAGCATTTCATAAAACGAATCGCCGCAGAAAATTTAAAAAGACAATGTTGACTGTTCACTGTAGAAATTGCTTCATTTGATCCAATATATAGTCATACAGAAGCTCCTTCCCATTCTTAGCCCACATAAAATCTATGTGATTGAATCTCTTATCCGGAACTAGAAATTTGCCAAAGGGATTACCTAATTCTGTGTACAAGTTTTCCACATCCTACGGAAAAATATTATAATATATGTGATTAATTTATATATATTATTTATATATTTAATATGTGTAATACATGTATAAAATGTTACATATATATGTATTTATTTTATTTCAGTATCTCAAATAATTACAAGTTGTTTAAAAAAATATTAAAAATGTCTATAAAAATATAAAATGTGTATATAAATATTTATGCATATTTATATATATCTATATATATTATATAAATATATATCAACATATGTACATCTATATACATATGTGGATATATTACATATATGTGTATAAATCTCTCAACTATTATATAAATGTTTGATTTATTATATTTATTTTATTTCTTATAAATATCCGTAAATATTCTGAAAAAATATTGATTGGAAATAGTAAATTATACAGTAATACAAATTATACATAAAAAATACAAACCTTCACATTTGCTAACCAATCATTTTTGCTGTAATGCAATACAACCGGCACTTGGATCTTTTTTAAATTATAATTCGGTGGTTTTACCTGATTGTATATCTTTTTATTAGCGATGATTCCATGATCATACTGCTTAAATTTGCCGGCAGATATAATTGATCCTAATAAAAAATATTGATAATTAAAAATTTTTTAATAAAATGTTTTGCTTACAGAGGTGAGACTGTTATAAGAAAAAAATATTTCACGCACGTTTGCGAAAGATAAAGGAAATAGGCATTATTTATTTTATGGTTTTATACGAAAAAACCACTATATGCATAATAAGTTATACTATGTAGTATAACTTATAAGATATAATATTATATAATATATATATCTTAATATATTATATTTTATGCAAACATTTATATATTCCCCTCCCAAAAAAAACAAGAAATCACGAAAACGTAAAAAAATAATGTCAAACTGATAAAAAATATGATGAGATTTTGATATCATGTTTTTGTCACTAGACAACATCAGGGTTGATTAAAGTGTGCACAAAAGTATTGAAATCCTATATTTGAAATTTATCGGTTTCGGCATAAATTACCGATTACGACTATTACAACTCTGTTTCACCGTAAGGTAAATGGTGTAAGTGTGGCCGCACACTTTAAAAAAAACATATGAAACATGTCCTGTCACTTCCATCCCCCTTTTATCCAAATAAAAAGATAAATGTTATTCAAGACAGTTCAGCTTTTATATTGAAACATTAGTGTCAAAATGAAGGTAAAAGACATAAATATAAATGGAGAATATTTGAATGGGAACTTTGAATCTTGAACGTCTAATTCGTAAATTAACTTAATTTGCTGAGTATAATGACCCGCTAAACTGACAAGGTTCCACCTATCGCATTGACAATCTCGATCACGAAGAAGAAACAAGAGAAGAGAAACACCGACGTAATGAAGAACGTAAAAGGCACGTTTCAAGCACGGTTTTTAGTCCGAGTCGGACTATGCTGAAAGACTGTAGGGATGCGAAAAAAGATAGATGAGAATGATGAGATGAGAGATACGAAAAAGCGTACAAACATTTCATTTTAACGAATTTATTGCACAAAAGTTATTATGACGACATTTTGACTTTTTCGTGACTTCTTGTTCTCTTTGAGTTAATTCCCAAACTCATAAGTTCTAAGTAAACGCTTACCAGAGTTAATGAGTTGCCCATAGTGAATGAATTGCTTTGTAGCCACACTGTCAGGAAATTGTTCAACAACTATCGGTATGAGATTCTGCAAAGACACGATGATATACTACTTTTACAGTGTGTATTAACACATTCGCGGTCGATAACGTAGTTCTACGTCATTTCAAAATCTATAGATGAAGTCTGTTGCTGACGTAATTTTACGTGATTTTAAAATCTATGTTCATTTGTTTAATAAACATATAAGTGTAATATGATGAAGCAACATTTTGTATATGTACACCCATTTAAATAGTAAAATCTTGTAGCTCTCAGCTATAGACGTTTGAAAATTGTATGCTTTCAGATAGCGGTCTTGCTCTAAAATTGCCGGCCGCGAATGTATTAATACATACCGGAAAAGAAATGTAGATAATTTATTTTGCAGCTATATGTTGTAATTGTAGAGAAACTCTTACTTTCTTTTTAGAAAGAAATATAATACGTGTACATATTAGTTTGTTCATTATCATAAGTACAAAAACTAAATATATATAATAAACATGTACTTTGTCCATTTGCTCGTGATTGAATCCAGTAACTAGGAAAATTGCATTCGAACAGAGTGATTGCGTGATAGCATCATCTGCGCATACCATTTGTTGGACTTTTTTTATTAATGCATTATTAGCTGTAAATTCGTTTATGCCAATTAACTCGCTCATAATCTGCAATAAGGTTCAATTAAAAAAAAAAAAAACTATATAAAATCTCTATCTCACATGCGTACATTATAATTTTTTCAACGTAAAAGTACATACTTTGATAGAAATCGTGAAATGTGATAGTATTTGAAAGAAAGGGCTCTTCATTCTACCACAAAAAACGATCGGTGCTAGAGCAAACATCGCCTCTATCTTACTCTGATATTCGGGTCGTTCCGATGCCATGGTGAAAAAGACAGTAGTGCCTTGACTATGTCCCAAGTAAAACAGCTTCTCGCGACCAGTAGTCTCCAATACATAATCTATCATTGCTGGAAGATCCTGCGTGCCAATTTCGTGCCAGCTGGGATACACAATAAAAATATTACAAAAATAGATAAAATTATTAAAAAAACAATATACATTAATTTTTATATTATACATATTATTATATTATATGTTAATTATACATATTATATATTAATTATTATATATTAATTATTATACATTAATTATTATATTATATACAAATTCTCATGTTGGCTATAGTTTTGTGTCTAAAATATTATATATTTTATATCTATTTTTAAAAAAACTTTTATATACATATCAAATTTTATATATGTATTATATACAGTCTTAACGTAATGTACATAAGTTTATGTACAACATGTGTTGCTATTGATAATCGTATATAGCTAAAGAAATTGCAGTAATATCTATTATATATATGTATTATGTATATATATCTATATATTTAGAAGTATTTATATACATGTATTATGTATATTTTTTTAATTAATCATGCTTTAAAAATTTTTTGGCTGAACTGATATGCATGGTAACAAAATGTTTTTTATCGAGCAATTACATTTGAATAATTATGCTAAAGTCGAAGCCAAAGTATTTTTTATTTTGTTGATTTCTTTTAATTTTCTGTGTGAAATATAACTATATTTAATAAATTCAGTTTAAGATTCTATATAATATGTCTGCAATCTCTGCAGTTTGTATGTATTTTATTTGCAAGTTTAAATAGATATGATACTGTATGCATCTGTTATACGTATGTAATTCATGTCATCGCGTCATTTCAAATTGTTCGCGATTATTCATAAAGACTTATAACATGTGAAAAAATGATATAAAAGTTAAAAGTTGTAACTGTGTAAGCTTAAACCCTCTTATTTATTACATACGTAAAGTATGTATCATTTATTAAAAGATAAGATTAAAAAGATATATTGATATGTTTATACAAAATGAAATCCGTGTATTATCTTTATCAAGCTTTATTTTGAAGTTTATCTTTTTATATTTCGCGTGTTACAGGTAAATAAAGTAATGTTGCATATGTATATTTCTTATTTTATGTATGTGTGTGTATTAATTCTCACCTAAAATTCCAATAGTCTTTTTCGTTAGAGGAATATTGCACGTGTTCACGAGAATATTTGGTACCACGTGCGTTACCGAGCCATACGTCATATCCTGCATCCGCGAGAATAAATGCTAAAATATAAGAATATATGTTAGAGAATATATGTAAATAAAAAAAACACAAAATTTAAAAATATTTAAACTTGCCTAGGCTTTTTCCTCCTGGAAAAAGCCAGCATATCGAGTTGCACAGAATGCCGTGCATGAGCAACGCAACGGGTTTTTGTATTTGCGAAGAGTTAGAATTGACTCGTCCAGTTATCCTATCAAGTCCTAAGACATAACCGTCGGAAGTAATAGTATTGTGTGTCTCACCATTGTATCCATATTTGTTTATTATTTCTATCTATAATAATAGTTAATTCTACAGTCTCTATAAGAAGTATATACATATATATTTATACATATACGTACATACATATATACATATATACATATATACATATATACATATATACATAATATACATATATACATATATACATATATACATATACATATATACATATATACATATATACATACTTTATATATGTATAAAGTTAGTAATATATAGAGATTATATATACCCTAATAGGCAAATTGTAAAAATATTGCACAAAAATGGCATCATGAATACCGACGATCTTGCAATGATTGCACTAAGATGATTCGCCATGACGCAACAGTTTTATCGAAATAAAATTTTGTAAATAATACTTGTCAAAAATTGCGAAAAAGTCGTTATGCATTTTCATAAGTATATACATGAATTAAGTTGATTTCTTTATATGCAATTATATTTCTACATATTTTAAACATCACATAGCTGAAATTTTTTTCTCAATTATTGGACAAATTCTTTTTGAAATTAATTTTGCAAATATACTGCTAAGATAATATCGCCGTATCGTTATTCTTTTGCCGAAATAGTATTTGGAAAGTAATTTTGCAAACAACTACAAATATTTTAAAAAAGATCAATGGTTTTACATCTATTTCCTAAAATATATCTGTATAATTGCAAATTACAATTTTAGTGCAAGATTTCGTCACGTAATTTTGTAAATGTTTTTCTATCAGGGTAGTTAATCAACATTATTTTTTTATAATAATTGATAAAAAAATAACTGATTATCAAATTATGAAAATGATATATGTATGTATGTATAATTTAGTGTTTTCATAATACTAAAATATTTTATCAAAAGTTTAAAATATATATGCGTGCACAAATGAGCATAATTTATCTTATCTTACAAAGTGCTAAGTATAAATCAGCACTTACAGCAGAAAGCGACGCATCTTCAGGTGGGTTTGGTGAGAAGTCAATCTTGGGTATTTTGTCTAATGGATCTAATAGAATGTTCGGTATTTTATGCAGAAAATCTATTAACGCGCTCGCAAATGTCAAGAATGAAACAAGGATAATTGGCAGCAACATTTTTACCCAGAGAAGCCGTCGATGAGATCGAAACAGTTTGCTAAACTTCTTAAATATACGATATATATATGTATTATTTCTTTATTATTTGCTGAGTATGGTACACAATATATCTTATTATATACTACCATCTGCTCATTTGTTATAATTCTGCTTTAATAATTCGAGTCATAATGAAAAAAGTGATAATTTCTGCATGAAATAATATGATATACTTTACATGTGTAAGCAAATAAGTAATAATATCATGTATATATTATCCCGACCAAAATACCTTATCCAAAAAAAGTAAAAACGGCGCCAAGTATACGCGCAACTCGTATCTCTAGAAAAATATTACTATGTACATATTACTATACTACAGAAAAATTATTTCTGTACAAAATCTATTATACGAAAGAAATGATATCTATCACGAAGTAACGCCAAGTAAATCTTGCACATTTATACATTGTTATAAACTATTATAATTTTATACATTGTTATAAAATATTATAAAACTATAAAAATATAAAATAAAATTGTGTGAATATCGTACTCTTTATACTATGCCCAGCACAGCATAATCGAAAAAATGACCATATGGTTCGACGCGTCTTGACGAGCTCTAGAAGTAATCATCAATTTTTTTTCGATATTCCGCTTAAAACCCATCGATTTTCGCGTTTTAAAGCTTTGGAGTGGCTAAAATGCAAGTACGAGCGCGGCAGCAATGCCCTTCTTAGTGTAGACAGAGAGAAGAATGAGAACAGCCAGGGCTTAATTCTTGAAAAGCTTTCGTATACGGAACTCTACTGTTAATGCCACATGTACTACAGACTTTCGTATGCGCAAATAGTTCGAAAATCGAGGTCCAGGTCCATAAGAGTTTTTACGATCGTTTTTCGTAGACATGGTTCTATTCCGTGCTATGAGAACACCGACATGATGGGGCTACGCACCAAGCGAGACCATTGTCCGTGTGTGCTCGTGGAAGAGTGCAGACATAGTATGTTGATGTTAACGACGATTCTCGCTTGTGTGCGTATCCCCACCACGTCGGTGTTCTCATAGCACGGAAAAGAACCATAGACATGTGTACGCATCGATAAATCGCTCGTGGACATGGCTGCGTAGTTCCAATGTGCACCACCCGTGAACATGCGCTAGTTTACGGGGCGGTTAAGCTATCACATCGCAGAAATTCGGCCTGGCCGCTCTGAGGCTTTTCTCTGCGTAAAGTGATAGCATATAGACACAGAATGGCGTATGGACCAGCTTAACGATTCACTGAGCCACAACAGCACCAAACCAAATCAAACCAAACCATAAAGTGATAGCGCGAAATATCGGGATTGTGTCACAATGGAGGCAATCGATGCAGTGTCTACGGCGAATCTCAATGCAGAAGATGATTTTGACGAATACACTTCGGCAAAATTGATCAAAGCACTTGAGGTAAGTCTGCATATCTTGTTTAACGTTGGCAAACGATGTCAACATCGTTTTGGAGTGGTGTTGCATCAGCCGTACCGGTTAGATGTGCGTAGTTACGCTTAGATATTTTTGGACAATCTTCGGTGTTTTTTCACCGATTTCTTCAGTTTATCAGTATTTTTAACGAACGTACAACTCCGTGGCTTGTACCCAAACCACGGTTTAGAACCTGTGTCACGATTCCTAAAGACTTAGAATGGCGTATGGACTAGCTTGAAACGGTCCTTTGAGCCATATATGCACCAAACCAAACCAACATCGTTTTGTACTATGTTCAAACACGTGCATGTCATATATCAATTCTTCCACATTGTCTTACAGAAAAATGGCATCACTGCAGGTGATATCAAAAAACTACAGGAAGCTGGATATTACACTGTGGAATCAGTGGCTTATACACCCAAAAAGAATCTTATTGCAATCAAGGGTATTAGTGAGGCTAAAGCAGACAAGATATTGCAAGAAGCATCAAAAATTGTCATGATGGGGTTTAAAAGCGCCACAGAAATACATAAGACACGCTCCAACATTGTCTATATTACTACTGGTTCTACAGAGTTAGATAAACTGTTGGGTGGTGGAATAGAGACTGGTTCTATTACAGAGATATTTGGAGAATTTAGAAGTGGAAAGTCTCAGTTGTGTCACACCCTTGCTGTGAACTGTCAATTGCCTATTAGTATGGGTGGTGCAGAGGGAAGATGTATCTATATAGATACAGAGAATACCTTTAGACCACAAAGATTGATAGCAGTAGCTGAAAGATATAAGATTAATGGTGATTCTGTCCTTGATAATGTTGCTGTTGCTAGAGCATATAATACTGATCATCAGACTCAGTTGTTGATGCAAGCCAGTGCCATGATGACAGAGGCGAGATACGCTCTGCTGATAGTAGACAGTGGTACTGCTCTTTATAGAACAGATTATACTGGTAGAGGTGAATTACCTAGCAGACAGAATCATCTAGGGCAATTTCTCAGGATGTTATTGCGGCTAGCGGATGAACATGGAATTGCCGTTGTTATAACAAATCAAGTTGTCGCAAATGTTGACGGTGCTGCTGGTATGTTTGGTGGTGATCAGAAAAAACCGATAGGTGGTCATATTTTAGCACACTCAAGCACAACAAGATTGTATTTGCGTAAAGGTAGAGGAGAAACTAGAATATGTAAGATTTATGATTCGCCATGTTTGCCAGAAAGCGAAGCAACGTTTGCTATAAATCCAGATGGTATAGGCGACGTAAGAGAATAAATACTTTTTTGTTAAATGCCAATAATAAACATCAATACATATATCAACAAACTTTTCATACACAATGGACCAATAGTCATCGACTTGAACATCAATATTTTACATCATTAATAAAAGTCAATTAAAGGAATTAAAGGGATTACAAAAAAAATAAATTAATGATAATCTTAGTTAAGTGTTAAATTAAGTAAAACAAACAAATTAGAGCACAATATATAACTTACTTTCTTAATATTTTTACTAATATAGTTTTTTTAGATTTTATATGAAACTGTATCTTTAACTATATCTTCAATAAATGTAAAAAGTTAATGTTTTTTTTTTTCAATTTTCTCTCTATAAACAAAACTTAAGATATGAGTATGAGTATTTTAAAACATCTAAAATCTAATAAAAGTTTTCAGCAGTTTTGAAAAAAAATTATTTCTCTTTTACTCTGAGCGTTTTGCACATATTGACTGCAATGAGATAAATGCGCGTGTTTATTCATATGAATAATTCTTGAGAACAATTTTCGAACATTTTTTAAACCTATTAATGTCACGTTGCTTCTCCGACATCTTAAGTCAAGCTTTCTCTCTGAGCTTGCAAAATAGAGAAAATTTTATAATCAATTATATTTTGTTTCAATTTTTCAAATAATTTTCTGTTAATAATTTTGAAAGGCTCAAATCCAAAAGGTACATATACAATTTGTGTCAAAAAATGTAAAATTTAGTATAAAATATTTATATTTTTTTTCATATTCGAGTTTATATTTCTCATTGCTTTTCTGTTTGTATAAATGGCATTTGTTACTTAATGTAATATTCATCATATATGTTACGCGACATATATTTGTTAACTTCTTAATAAGATAATGATAAACTTTCACAGCATTGTTCGTGAAAATGGCAAGCTGTTTTCACTGACTAATCGAGCCGTTAACTACTCTAAACATTTTATATACGAGATCACATTTCTAGAGCATTGTGTGTATAAAGAATCTATATAATATTAAAACCATTTGGTTTTAAATTTCATTATGTACATACATGATTTTATATATAAATTATTCAGACTCTACACAACGTGCACAAAAAAAAATTCACGGTAGAAAGTATCACTTATCACTTTGGAAGCATTTAAGATAATTAGTCATGGATCCATGAGGTTCACCGCGGAAGGTCGCAGATTCAATTGATATTCTCCAAAGAGCATGGCCGCTAACCATTTATACTGCTCGTCCTTAGAAGTACCTGCCAAGATATTTCCGAAATATGGGCTATCCTTACTTCTAAAAAACAAAAACACGTTTGACATTTACATAAAAATCGTTTTTACTAAATGTATTTTTTTTATTTTTTTTGTTACTAGCACAACACAGGTGTATATATATATATATATATCGTAATCACGTGACCGAAGTCAGTAACACCGTCGCGGTCGCGCGGCCGAGGTCAGTGACCCCCCCACCAAGGTCGCGCGGCCGAGGTCAGTGACCCCGCCGCGGTTCTGATTCAAATCCAATTTAAAATCTTCGACCAAACATTTGTCAAAGCGACTCTGCCGTCTTCTTTCTCTCACCGAACATGAATAGCATAGCTATTCATACCGGGCGGCCGTAACAATATATATTATATATATCACATGTATAGAATATATGTCACATTTATAAAATATATGTGTGTATATAAATATATAAATATAAATATATATATGTAATTATAAATATAATATATAAATATATAAATTACATATATATATATATATATATATATATATATATGTATATTCTTACCTCATCGGTGCTTTGTTTTTTAAAATAAATGTGATAGACCAGCTGTAATAAAAAGTTTGTAATATTTTAAATAACAAAAAAATTATAACACATATGTATTTATGACTTTACGACATATATTTACCCCATTTGTGGATTGCGTTTAAACTCGTGTCCCAAGTACCAAATAATATCTTCTATCTTCCATTCGTGAAGTTTGATAGAACATACTTTGTCTTTATAACAGCAAAGTTTTGCCTGGCTAAATTCAAAGAGGTAGGTTTTCAAGTTTTTTGTCCTGGAATCCGCAAATTTTAGTTCTCCGGAGATCGTCATAGGCGGTTTTACCTATTACACAAAGAGTAGACAAAAATAAATGGATAAGTAATTAACTTTAATTAGGCAATATACTGTTTTTGCATAACGCGCGCATCTTTCTTTCCGCTTTTAATCACATAAAAAGCTTGCACTTTGTACAACCTTGAACTCTCTCTCTCTCTTTTGCTCTCATCAATATAAATTTAGATCGTGGGAATTGCAGCGCGATACTCGGTATATTTGAATTAAACATGCGTGTGTGTTTTATGTTCATGAATAATAAACGCAGTAATAACTTTATGTTATGTTATACACAATAAAGTTTATTTCTTTTATATTTTTACACTCACCAGAGGCACGATGTCTTTGTACAGTCGATCCATCTTTAGGACAAGAATATTGTCTTTCCTGTCATCCGTATCCCAATATCCCCATCTCGCCACTGTCTCTAGAACGCGTTCGTTGTGATGCAACGGTCGCTCCAATGCACCAGACAACGTGTATTCTTCCAAGCACAATACGTGAGCTGGCAAATTGGCTTTGTCAGCGAGCTCGCAACATACATCAAACGCAGTTTTCTGTGGCCCGATCTGATTGCGAGTAATAAAAAAGAAGCAAATAAACTGAAGTTATATTCAACAATAGCCTTAATTAGCAAAGAACGGAAACTAATGCTTTATTTCTCCGGCGAGAAATCTAAATAAACAGAAAAAAGTAGGAAAAATGTACTAATAATTTAACAAAAGGAGAACCCTTACGGTGACGTTTGTGCACTCTCCGTCCGGCGACAGGATGTATATCCAAATCTTGAGATCTCCCGAGGGTGCGGCTCGCGGTCCGTTGTTACACACATGATGCTTCTCCAAAACTTCCAACATCTTTGCTTCCTTGGCCAAGTCCGCTGGCGACAATTGATAAAGTCTCGGGTATAATTTGATGAGATCACAGACAACCTTAGTTTCGGCGCGATTCCATTCTTCGGCACTAATGTCACTGGCGTCCATCAGAGTCGGACCCCAGACTGCCGACAAGTTCTCAACAGTCATTAAGTTGCGGGCGTTCTGTTGGCTGAGTACGTGAAGGTGCGCCAGAATCCGACGTAAAGTTGCCGACGTCACGGAATTTAGAGTGGACAGTAACTTTCGATAAGTTGCTACTCTGTTTTCTTCGTTGGTCGATTCTAAATATAACGAGATTAAAATTTAATTGATTTAGATCAAGAAACGATAAAACTATATCTCATTAAATAAAACGTATTTTTATATATTTTTTGCACGAATTTACAGAATCCTTTAATTAATTTGACATTTGTTTTTGCAAAGCACGTTTTGGTTCTGATAATTATCAAGTTACTTACACAATCGAAAAGATGTATTACTTACCGGAAGTGAGGCAAAGCCGATCGTGAATATTAGTAGGAAACAATGGGTCAGGTAAATCCCGGATAAATCTTCTGAGAACAGTTGCGACATCGTGTTCCGTGTATAAATTCCGTGTGATTTGCGTGGCCCATGCATCTTGCCTAAAAGCCCCCATTAACTTCACTACGGCAGCGGTCGATCCGCTGCGACGATAAATGCCTTCCGACATTATGCCTGGGAGATAAGAAAATCTCATGTAGCTATATTGTAATAATATTATGTAACTTTAATAAAAATACATTCAAAAATAAAATTCTCTAAAGAAATTTAACATACAGAATGTTTTCAGATATCACTAATCTTTCTTGATGATAGCGTAGTAACGTAAAAGGACCATTATAAAAGTGTCTTTCTGCGGATTTGGCTAATTTTTGAATGTTAGGAATGTAGTTTTCGATATATTCCGAAAAATTATCTCAATGAGCACAATTGATTTTATTGCCGTTTCCTGTAAAGATCTAGATTTAATATGCAAAGATATAAGCTTTTCGACTCTGTATATGTGATTTTTGGTTAAATATGTGTGCGTGCGTGTGTATATGTGCACACGCGTGAATGTGTACGCGCGCGCGCACTTACATACGTGCAAGTTGTGTATCGAGATTTTTTTCAGAATAACGAGAATTACACATATCCAACAATTAGCCAAACCCGCAGAAAGACACTTTTCCATAAGAATGATACAAAGTCCTTTAAATTTTATTCTTGTGTACATTTTACCGTAATTAAATATCCATTAATTGAATGATGATATATAAAAAATAATATAATACTATATACAAACAAAAACAATTAAAAATAAATCCCCCCATATATTTGTTTTTACGATATTTTATCTATTTATCTGTCATGAAGTTTTTCAGTATATTACAGTTTATTATATATTGCAGTATATTCAATATATCAATGTGTTTCTTAAAATATGTATGTGTGTATTTTTTCTAACAAATTAGATAATTAACACGTACAATCATCAATCCCATAGGACATCGTACGTCACGCGATTCCGCAAAGTTATTTATATAAAGTTAGAAGACGATGATTCATTACCATGAACATAGATAAAGTTGATGCATTTATCCAAGATGACAGGCACATTGTCCTGCGTGAGCTGCTGCTGGTCTAAAGCAGGGCCGCAGTTGGTTGCCGCCTGATAGAGCGCGTGTCGCCAGGCAGACGCCTCGTGAGTTCCCGGCGTGGCTATGTGCAAAGCACATGCTCCACTACCTCCGGCATCCACAACTACCACTGGAACTGCTCCGCATCCGGCAATTGGCCCTTCCTGTTCCCGCAACACTGCAACACAATACAAATCGATTAGTAGTCTGTAGACGACGCAATTAACACTTGTACATATGTATATATCTATAATGTGACTAACATAACAATTTTATTATCATAATGAGTCACTGATAAGAAAATAATCGAACTCAGTTTATCAGTGGAATTAGGTCATGTCTTCCGTGTTTCAAGATTTAGTTACATGTTACAATTATTTCAAAAATAAATTTTTGATCTAAATCAAAGATAAAGTTTTCTGATAAGAATATAACAAAATGATGATCTATAACAACTTCATAACAAACGCTTTTATTGATTAAATTATTAATTTTAATTTTAACTTTGTTATTTATGATTTATCTTACTTTCATGTTGCATTCTTTGTTTATATTTTTATTATTAATTTTATTTTACGCGTTCTCGTAATAATAGTTTTAAGTATATATATTGAGTGAGTGGAAAAGTTCTGACGGATTTTGTAACAGAAAAATGGACCAAGTAATTTTATTAAAATGATTTATTCATTTTAATAATCTATTGTTTTCTATTATGTTTCTTTTTATTGTATTTTTGATGAATAAAAAAATAATCGTTTTTAACTTATTTACTGGGTCGTTTTCCTATCACAAAATTCATAAAAACTTTTGCATTTATCCTATGTATAGATGTATCTGTGATTTGTGTGCAATTACGACTTTTAACTGCAACTTACCAATGCAGCGCGCTTTACGCAAATCCACGTATTCAAAATTTACAGCAAAAGCAGTCTCCAAAGATTTCGTATAAATCAAAGTTCTTTGTTGCAGAAGAATCCAAGCTGGGAACCATGTGCCCGTTATGCCTTCCTGAAATAGAACACAATAATTGCATTGTAAGAAGAAAAAAATGAAGATGGTTATATCCGACATTTTAATTTTGTTTTGATGACGAAAGAAATCCAACAGATACTATCTGCGATAACGAGTGTAAAACGTTACTGAAAACGTTTGCGAAATTGTAGAAGAGAAATTTGCATGCCAAAGTATATAAGCTTTCGTAAACACGAACAGCCAGCAACAGATATAAAGAATTTGCAATAGATCTAGCAATAATACGGCTAATGAAACTTAATACACTCTTTCCTAGATTGTGAAATAAATTTAAATAAGTTTTTATATTTTTAAATAATTTGCCATCTACGATACAAAGCAATATTGAATTAAGTTGCAACATCAAATATTTAATATATGAGATAGAATTCTGACATACCTTAGTTTAAAAGGTAACTGAAGTAGGCTTGAAAATTTGTGAAAATATTAATTTACTTATTAATACTATATATATAACGAATCTATGTTGTACGTAGATATTCTAACATAAGTTTCCGCATGTACATATTAATTGTATTATTATGCTATTTTATTATTATGTTAATTTCTTTTTACATGTAAAACAAGTTGAATTATCATATCAAACGAGAAATCAATACATTTTTCTTTTCTATCAGTAAAATATTGAATTCTTAATATCTTTTCTAGATTATTATTCATCGTTTAAACTCTAATTTTTGAACTGTTTAATGCTAAATAATTGTACACACACATTGTTTTTCTTTCATGTGCTTACCTTTAGGTAAGCCCAACCTGCTCGGGTAAGTTCGGCGGTGTACTTTGTGGGAAAAACTGGCGTAGTGGCCTCGAGAATTCTCTGGGCCCAGACCCGTCTTTCGGCGACACCTTTTGCATAGAAAATATGCACGCTTGGTCTGCCCTCACTGCTAATCGCTAAGCAATGTACCGCCTCGTCGTCCACGAACCTACACGCATTTTGAAATTAATTAATCTTCATCAAGCAATCGCGAGCGATCAGCTGACGAATCGATTTGCCAATCGATTTAATTGCATTCATGATATATCAGTATTATGAATCGCACAATGAATCAAAGGGAAGTATAGAAGATACAGTAAGCACAGAATAAATAAGTCAGTTTACACAAAAGTCAAGAGAAATTGTGCATTACGAGATTCGATGAGATTAATTTGCAAGTTTGTGAATAAAATGAATTGTTGAATCTATAATCGATTGTTGACAAAGTTTTAAGCAATAGATGCAAAGACTAATTGTGACGTCTCGGGAGTATAAAATACAATCTATCATTGTTATAGAGCGTGATCAAGGTCAAGTCGTTACGTTTGCGAACGTACCGACTCTTTTCTCGTGAGATTCTTTTCTTCTCGTTTAACAAAGAGAACCTTGAGATCTCTTTTATAGAAAGGGAGACGTCTTTACGTAGAAAATATATGGCCAATACGTTAATACTTCAGAGTCAAGAAATCAAATTAGTCATTATTTAAATTATTATTATTACAGCATGCATATATATATATATATAATAAGCTAGCAAATCGAATTAATATTCACAGTCAGAAAATGTGGAATATTTGAATGTGGTTTACTATTTACACTTTACAGTAAAATCAAATAAAATATTTCTGATAATGATAGAATTAAATATGCAAATAGATTCTATTAATTCGATAATGCCGCATATTTGTTGTTTAACACAAAATAATAGACTCACTTAACAGCTTGCAGTAGATGAATACTGTGCACTGTCTCCAATTCCACGACCTCTTTCAGCGTAGACATGCTCTTGTCAGTATAGAACGATAACTTCCGATCGAGCAATACCGCCGCTCTTAGCACGAGGTCCTTAGCCCTCTCAATGCCCATTCCAGGTCTCGACAGGAACAAAATAACACAAACATATTTTAATGAAGGTTCTGAATAATGTGTGTAATGTGTATGCAGTTTTTTTAAGTCAAAAAAAAAAAAAAAATTTATATATAAATATATATACACATTATTTTATCAGCACATTTATCTCTTAACTTTTTAAAAAAATAAAATAAAAATAAAAAAACATTGAAGAAACATTGTTATTGATGAAATTTTATATATTATTAAATTTGAGGCAACATTTCGAACGGATAACAATTTTGAAATTGGAAGTAGGTGTAAGTGAATTTTAACATGCGTTGCTCTTTTTACCTGTAAACTATTCCCCTGTGTGTAACCGGATTATGCTGGGCATTAACCTTTGGCCTTTCCATTCGCGGTGACCTCGAACCGGACTCGGCCATGTGCTCGCGTGTCCTGGACAACAGTTTACTTCCACTCTTTACGAAACTGATCACATTAGGCTTGAGAGCATGTACCGTAGACTCATGTCGAAGTTTCTTCAGCTTCTGTATCACACTTACTTTGCGATGATCATCGGCGGCTCTCGATGAAGAACTGGTAGTATCTTCATCGACTTTATTTGTCATCGTCATGGTTGTTGTCGTTGTGCTGACAGTCGGTTGAAGAAAACGCGAAGTATCCGCAGAAGATCTTCTTGTAGAAGGTTTTCTAGGAGGAACTGCCGGCTGCTTTTTGGTTACCATGTGCGCAAGTTTCGGCAAAAGAGGCGGATTTTTGATCAAAACTTGATTCTTCTCGGGTTGCTCCACTCCTTCCGCTACGTCGTACTCGTTCTTGGGAAGGGAATCGAACCTTTTCGGTGGTTCTGGAGGTATCGAACTAATGCCAGGATGAGTCAACTCCTCATTTTCCTGATCCCCTTCGTTATCTGCGTTGCCTGCAAACTCCAGCGCGCTGTCGACGCTACCAGAATCGTTGGTGGACGCTAACAATGTCTCTAACAACAATAAATCGTCATTATTGTTCTTGACGTTTTCATTGTCGGATGTTTTCGCAAACGGATCAAATTCGTAGAGAAGAGACTTGCTGTTCTGTTGTCTGGTGTTCGCGGGAGGCGTTGTCGGTTGTTGTTGACAATCAATCTTTGGCGATGACAGGTTCTCGTAGATCGAATTCTGAACTGAAGCATGACTCTCGTTGGACGCACAGGAGGTTCGATCGAGTATCGATAACTCTTTTTCGAAGGATTTCTCGAAGTTTTCTTCCTCCTCTACACTAAATATTCTATCCACGTTATTTACACTTTCGGCTTTCGCGCTAGGTGTGGCATCATAGAAGGTCCAAGAATCTGACCTCGATAGCCTTTTGGCAGAGGAGGTTTCAAACTTGTCGAGTGACAGACTTAAATTGACGTCGGACAAGTTTAGACTTTGATCGGAAGAATCGCTACCCTGTTTGAAGAGAAAGAGATACGAAGAAAACAATATTTAAGTAATATTATTTGCTTTTGTGACTTACTTGATTTCGTGTAAAGTTCAAAAGGTTGAAGTCCCGCTCGACATTGTCAGACACAGTAGAACTGAGCGTGTCGTATCGGCCGCTACTTCCCGATGTGACAGACTGCAGCTCGTCGTAGATAGACTCGTCCGGAAGCGGAGGTGGCGGATAAATCGGAGGTGGCGGACTGTGCCTGTCAGATAAATCCTCCACGTTTTTCACGCTGCGTAAATTACCGCTCAATGGGCTGTAGAACGAGATGCTGCTGAAGATGTTGTCAGCCGGCATCGACACGCATCTGTCCTCCTCGACTCCCACCGAGTCTTTAAGTTTTTTCTGGTCAGTACTCTGACCATCTACCACGTCGTCTTGATTCAAAGATGACAATCGTCGCGTTAGCAAGTTCTTCACCGACCTCTCCAGCCGGATACTGGCGTTGCGCGTGCTGGAAATAACGGCGCGTCCTTTCACTGTCATCTTTTCTGAGATTCCATCTTTCAGCTGGCGCGAGCTCGTACTGAGACTGCGGAAGAATTCGTGATTGCTGCGCGAGCTCTCGTTGTTTGTAGTATTGCTCGCAGTCGGCTTCAAGTCGTCGCTCTTTTCGGACTGGCCGGACTCGCTAGTCGGGCTGCTGGATCGAACTGATGGCAGGATTTTTCGTGGCGCCGGTATTGGCTTGTTTTCGGTCAGCACCGATCGCGGTTTTGGTATCGGCTTCACTTCCATTATGAGGTAAAAACTTCGAACATGAAAACGTTCTTCCTTTCCCTATATACGTAGACTTGCTCAGAGAGAAGAATTTTCTCTGTTGTTCTCCAACATCAATTCATTAATCCTAAGAAATAAAACTTCTTCTGATTCTTTTGCGATTTGAATTGATACATATTGCTTTACTTTCAACCATTTAAGCAATCGAACGAGATCTCGCAAATGTATTTGAAAGAAGCAGAAAAAAAGTAGTAGTTCATAGTCTGACAGAGCAAATGGATAGCGAATTCAGTTATTATTTATGTGAATCATGGCACACAAAAAACTTAAGCAATCACCAATATTAACTTATGTTACCAAAAAATATGTTGCTGGTTTGTGATTGGTTGATTTGCTTATTACTTATACGTCTTATTGTTTAAATTTGTTTTGTACATCATGTTTTGTACCTTAATGAAATTGTTGCTTCTCTTCGCGTTAGGCGCGCGTGAGCAAACGCGATGCAAACATAAAGGAAATTATGAATTGTCCTAATGTGAGTCATCGTTCCGAAAGGCGATACCGACGCCCATAGTTTCCGGCTTCTATTTCAACTAACTAGCGAGTCAGTATCACGAGAGTGTCCATCGTTTCGTATCTGTATTTCAATTCCTCGCCGAGCGTGCAACATAATCGTGTCTATCACTTTCAGCTGCATTTCTCGCAGATAAAATCAAATAAGCGTGATATACGATATAATTCAAAACTGAAACACGTGTTTGATGATTTTGTTTTTTCATATTTATTTTTTCTTTTAATGTTATTTCTTGGAACAAAAAAAGCACAAAAATTACAAAACAAGAATAGTGCAACTAAAAATAAAGAGTAAAAAAAAAAACAGCTTATGTTTTATAGGTTTATTTTAACGTTAAAATTACGAACAAAATTAGTATGTGCTTTTTAAATTACTTGGTATAGTTGTGCAGTGTGAACGACAAGCGTGGCACATGTTATCTTCTATCACAACTAATCTCTAAAATAAATAAGTTTTGAAATAGTTCTAAAAAAACATTCAAACAGGAATTCAGATACAGAGAACAGCGTTGGAATACTATTGAAATAATTAATATAATATAGATATGAAAAACTGAAGAGAAAATGAGAACCGAAACTCTAGTGCAGGGCTTTTTAAACTTTTTTATCTGCCGACTCCTTTTTGCCAAAGAAAATTTTATGCAATTCTGGATACATACATATGTATATAAAATAAATAAACAAAACATTAACTGGCAAGAGGAATTTAATTTTAAACAATTGCTTCTTTAATACATATTTGTAATTTTTTATCATTTATTATTACTTATTAGAACAAAAACTTTACATGTTAACGAAAGAGATGTGCTTGTTTATTCTTCCATAAAAAGTTAAATCTGGGCTGGCTGGAATAATTGACACTGCAGGACGCAGGACATCATCAACGTTTTTCAAAATTGATTGATAAGGCCACATACTGACAAGTGCGGAAGATGAACAGCGAGAAAAGATGTACGAACGCTTAATTACTCTATTCTACATATTATAATTAATATATAACTATAACATGATTTTTAACTTTAATTAAATATCCTAAAATGTGTCTTAAATCAAAATGCTTTTTGTAATTATCTTTGGTTACTAATATTTGAGAATTTGACAGATAACATAGGTTGAAAAGATACTCTTTGCAAACAATTGCCAAAGTTTTCGAGCGACTCTCAATTCTGTTACGCGATTCTCTCTCTAAAGGGTCGCGATCCACAATTTAAAAAGTTCTTCTCTAGTGATAGATATTTAATAGTTATTGTTATTATAAGTAAAATATTGATAAAATGATGATTCTTGTAATGTCGAAACAAACTTCAATGACTGATACTACGTTGAAAGCGTTTTAATATCATGGCACTTAAATAATTAAGCAAAAATAAATAGTCTAATTACGTAAGACAACGCTTATAAATCATATTATGTACGTATTATAACACATAAATGTTTACGAACATCTAGAAAGTATTTCATCGATGCAATTAAACATTGCAAGCACCATATACATATATGAAGTTACAAATGAGGAGACGCGCAAACATATGTCGCGAATAGTTTGTGTGAGCTGTTAACTAATTATTGTTACGTCGAAAACATCTGTAGACCGTGTTTGTTTTATCTGTTTCGTGAACGAGAAGAAATTTTTCTCAAAAAACATAGCTTTAAATCATTATTAAGCTTAATATTATACAGTCATTAACAGGTCGAGACGCTAATTTTGAAAAGTACAACTACAAAAAAATTCCTATTCCTATGACGATTACACGAAAGTCGGAATTTGACTTCTGGTCAAGATATGTTTTTCTCGTAATGGTTTTTTATATTTTATAAGAAGAGATAAAAGGGAAGTTGTTTTTACGACATATAGATAAGATGCAAACCAAGCATTTTATATAGATGTTTGAATTGAATTGAATTTGAATTATTTTTTATATTAATCTTAATCCTGTAAACGTTTTTTTTTAGGTACGTATCCTGTAAATCTTAATTTATGTCTAACGCGATTTTTTTATTGGTTAAAACTTTGCAAAAACTGTAAAAATTTATTCTTTTTTTTTTTATTCACACAACATTCTAGGAAATAATATTAGTTGATATATTTTTTTGATATATTTTTTTTATTTTTTAGACAGTATTCTACTATAAATAGTTAATAAAATTTTTTTATTTTCAAGAATCCCTCGGACATTAATCCGAGGTTTACAGTAAGGTTTAAAAGTAGGTTAATTTACATGTTAAAAATATATTCACACGTATATTCAGCACTTGACTTTTGCTGACCTTATTACTTTTTCCATATACCCAGCAAACAATTTCCGACTGCGCAGACCTGGCAACAGAAACTGTGTGCAGAAACGCTACAATATGGAAACATGCTTTGTGTGCTGCCAAAGCTGTTAACACACAGACATAAAAAACGCAACATGGTCACCAAAACTCAGCAAAACCATATCCTACTGAGGACACAGATGGATATGAATTTGATGTGGCAGTTGGCGACAAAATCGCGACATCTGACAACCAAATTGTTTGCTGGATAGTTGAATATTAAACAGAATCGTATACAAGATCTGTACAGTTTCTATCTTTGTTCCAATTCTTATGTTTCTTATATTGTACCATTATATTATAACTTATTATACTATATATATATATGGTGAGGTGTGTGTGTGAATTTCTGGAACTATTTTATAAGCGAAATTAAGAATGGACACGTGCATGTAAATGCAAAAGTTATCTCTAAAATATCTATCTCTAACATCCAACTTTTTTTCAAGGTATCTCTTAAACACGTGTCATCTATGAGAGATTGTCAGAGTTATGTATAACTGACACTACGCGCAATAAAAAAAGGATAAACAAAAAAGATAATCTCTTTTTTTTTCATAAACTGCACTGCCAAGACAATGTAAAAATTAAATCGAAGACTGAAAGAAAGACCGCTATTCCGTTAGTGATGCAGGTCAGAAACCTACCTGGTCATTGCCATTGGTTGTCACGGTACGGCTGTCTCTTCCTGCGGCTTTTCCTGCTCGTGTATAAAACGTTTCCCACGCAAACGTTATAGTAATTCCACCAAGTTAAAATATTTCATTTTTTTCTGGAACTAAAAGTTTCTTACAAGTTTCTTTCGAGCTATATAACTACGGATCAACTATTTTTTAACTATTCATCAGCGTTTACAATGTGGGCTCGTTGTACTTTTATTCACTAGCACGTGACTCATTATCCGCGCACTTGTTCACGTATATACATGTATATTATATTGCACGCATATCTGCAGTTTTATTACCTCGCGCTTATTCATAAAAAGTTCTCTGCATAAACATGAGTCAAAAGTAATACTAAAATAGAAGAAAAGTTGCGTGTTTTGTTTTTGTAATATATCACATAAAGACAAAAACACAGAAAGTTTCTTCTCTAAAATAAACAATATTTATCTTTTTATTTAACATTTCTATTGCTTTATATAACTATTTGTAAAATTTGAGTATAGAAGTGACGTCAAAAGAATCAAACCAAACAGAAGTTGGACACACGAGCCTGACCGCGAGAGTTAATGAGTTAAAGAGACACTGTCTCGCGCGGCAACGATCGAAGAAAGACGCGCGCGAGAGAGTACACGCACACACATTGAACACTGCGTATACACACACGCAGTTGTACGCACCATAGATTTCACGCGCGCGCGCGCGTGTGTGTGCAATAGGCCTTCTCCTTTCTCCTCGCAACACCTACAGAGCTCAGCTGTGTCCCGGAGCACACTTTTCGAAACGGGATGCTGCGTCTACGTTTCTGTCGAATTCTCCGCACCGGATATAAAACGCGAATACAAAAACAAAGCGTGCACAATTCTTTTTAGATGGCAACCAACGACGTCTAAATGAAGGCAACGTACAATCAACGGCGATAAGATAAAAAGGCCGAGCGTCATGTCATCATCGTCAGCTTGACGGCGTAGCTCGTGCCTTTGCACTGACGCGGCTTTGCTCTCTGGTCGCCCACACGTCCGTCGTCGTTGCTCTTCTAGGTGGTGGGAAGACTAGAGGAAGGGGCAGACAACGCTGTCGCTCACCATCGCCACGCCGATTGCAGTGGATGTGACTGCAACTGCACGTGGAATGTGTGTTGCTTTTTTGTTTATTTATAAACAAAAAAGTCTCATATACTATATATATAACTTATTAAATAATACCTTAAACAAAATACAATGTTATAAAAATTAAAAATTGATTAAATGATAGTGAATAAATTCAATAGAAGCTTTGTAAAGTTAAAAAATAGAACAATTTTGGATTTTGACCAAAATAATGAATGATAAGGTATATTATTTTACAAAAGAAGAAAAAAAAGAGAGAGAGAGGAGAGGATATTTTAATGAAACTTTATTAAGATTTTTATCGTGCGCGCGCGTGCCAAAGACAAATAATGACTTTGGCTATACAAACAGGTAAACATCTTCCCGCTGTCTTTCGTGCAGGTGCAAGTTACATGTAATATACAACATTGTATCACTATAAGAGATCGTGTTTTTTTTAAGAATTAATATTAAAAAAATATAATAGAAGTCTAAGAAATTTGACTTCTCGACAAAAAAAGAGCAATATAATTTTGTATAATTTAAATATGTACATTAAAAATTTTATAAATATAAATATAAGCATAAATATAAATATAAATTATATATATATATATTTCTATTCATAATAAAGCTATAAATTTTATTTTTTTTCTATAAGTGAAATAGAAACTTAATATTTTGCTGCTGTTATATATACGATTATCGTTCATAGTTTTAATTGCATCATTGTAGTTGATTTTAATTATAAATGCATATAAAAAAAAATTTTTAACATATTTGCCATGTACTTTTTTTCTATAATTTTACGAAACGCACCTGTTGCACCTGCACTATCAAGAGACTGACGCGGACATTTCTACTATCTTAAATCACAATAGTGACGACAAGTTTAATTATTTATTCGTTAATTAGTTCCTTAAGACTGATCGTTACATAGCAGCAGTTACGCACGCATGCATGCACACACGTTTTAACAACCGTATACATATAAATTTGTGAAGTAACGTGATTTAATGATCGCCGATGATCTTTTGGTGAAAAAAAATTCAACGTTACTTAAAACCTATAAATTATTTAAAAAATAGATATATTTCTGGAATTACGTATAGTAATGCATAATTTTATATTCTCTAAACATTGTAAATATTTACTGTACAAAATTTATATACATATATAAAATAGTTTTGTATGTAAAAACCGCACAAAAGAATTTTTACATTAATTTTATTAATTCAAGATTATCGGCGTTCACTGCCTCGGAAGTCACAAGAGAAATTGATATCTTTCCGCAAACGACTCGCTTTTTTATTGTATTTCTCCTTAACGTCATAAGATTAGCGTATCGCGATCGAGATATTCGAATCTATCGCGCGAACCTGTAAAGAATACCTTCGTTTCCAGTGCGCGCGACGCCGAACGCTTAGGCCATAAAATCGTAAAAAAATATTCAAGCGCGAGTTTTTTCGCGGACAAGCACGCGAATGTGAATGCCTCCGATTTTTCTGATCTTTCGTATTTTTTTGGAGGAAAAGGGGAATCTTGGAGGCAGAAATGCGCGTTTACTTTCGTATACTTTGCAGAGAAGAGTCGAGTTCGCTCGCGGAATATCGTGAGTGCATGCGCTGCGTGGTGACCGCGTAATTATTTTTTTGTTTTTATATAAAGAGGAACAGTTCGAGAGACGGAATATCTACTATTATGTCGGAACATAGAGAGATAATCGTTTAAACAATGTCAGCCCTCGACCGACAGCGCAACTTCGCGTAAACTTTTCTTGACAAAAAAACCAGATACGCAATTTCTTTTTATCTACATATATATATATATATATATATATATATATATGCATATACGCGCGTATGTAAATATAATGAAGAAACAAATTAATATTTTGTCCCTTCATATATATTTAAATATACATAACTCATATTTAATTGAGCAACGAGCTTTGCTATCTAGAGATCTCACTTAGTTTTGCAACAAACAAAACTATTGGCATACGTACAATATTACATACAACAAAAGTACATTTTTTAATTCAACAAATTCGCACTGATACTTGATCCACAAATAACAATTTCGCGGAGCTCATCGGATAAGGACTGAGATAAACGGTCCAATCTCCTCTCTTTGCTTCTATTCAAATTTAGTAGATCTTAACAAAAAACCCGTATCAATTTTTTTCCGAAAAGTATCAGAATTCTGTAACAATAGTAGCAATTTTTATAAATACGTTTACAAAGAAAGTGAATTTGTCATAAATTATCACACCGTTAAGCAAGTGAAAAAAAATCTCATTGATTTTCACTTTTATTAACACACGCAACGTGTTAAAAATTAAAAACTTAGTATGATTGGCAATTTTTAAGATACTTGTGATCATAAGTTAAATCGCGTAAGCGTTGAGTGTGAGATTTCTTAAATCTCTGTCATGTATTTTAAAATCGTCAAACTACAGTTAATAGTCTTTCGAAGTCGTTTACAATTGGAACACGTGATTCGAAAACACGAGAAAAAGGAAAAAACAAATAGATAGATAGATAGAAGACGAGAGAGAGGGAAGAGGGAGAGAGAGAACAGTGTTTGTGTGTGCGTGTGTGTGTGTGTGTGTGTGAAAGAGAGAAACAGTGATAGAAAGTGTAAGAGATTAATCTGAAGAAAAAATCTTAGGCACACTCACACACATACATGATACATTTATATAATTATATATATATATTTGTATATATATTATGCGTAGAGCGCAAGAGTCTTTATTCTTTGGCAAGCAAAACGCGGCTTTATTACTTTTATTCTCGCCGGAGTTAGCAAGGGTGATGCGATGATGATCTGTTATTTTTAATTTTGCACTTGGAGCATAAGAGAACAGAATCGAACAATTACTTGAGCACCATAAACAAATATAGTATAAAATAATAGAAATACTTCGGAGACAATTAGAAAATAATACAAATACATTTCTATGTAAAATATATTTTACATTGATTATTTTTACTTAGATAATTATACAAAAATATACAAAATAATCGTTTATATAATTATTCTTAAATTCCTGAAAAAAATAAAATATTGCAAACGAGAAATGTGACGCGTACAAAAATCCAAAATAAAATAGTACAAAAAATACTTTATATGTACGAAAGTTTCACGAACAGTCTTTGATCGGATTTAAACAATTCTCTAGTAGCTTTGTACTCGTTCAGCCGATCAGTTTATCCTGTAGTAGAAAAGACTTCAGAATGTTCAGATCATCTCACTCGTAACGCCAACTCCGTTCAGACTCTCGAAATTACCTATTTTTCTCTGTTCTTCGTACGTTTTCGCGCGCTGTTTAGTTAATTATAATGTAATCGTTATGTCATAATTTAATAGCAAATATATTATCACATTTAGATTGTATTAATTTTTAAGACAGCCGACCGGACTTTCTTCGACGAAATGTTCGTCGCTTTGCAACTTGCGCACCGAATGACAAAGCTTATTAATGCCCAATCAACAGTTGTATATCGCGTCTACAATAACAGTTATTCTTTTAGTAGTGTACTATATATTCATAAGCAATAAATATAGCGATGAATACTGTTGTCTGCGAATAACAAGAAAAATGATCAAAACATTATATAAAGATTAGAAAGTTTCTTGAATTATTTTTACAGTTAAATTTTTTCTTAATTTTATACACATAAAAATTTAGAGATAGATATTTTGAAGTATCTTATATATACATACATGTATATATACATGTATACATACATGTATATACACATATACACATATACTAAGAAATACAATTTTATATTCATTAGCATAAAAGATACTTTGTTTAGCTATATTAAGAATATTTCACAGAAATCTCTTCAAAAAATTCACCAAGGAAAAGTTTTTTCAATGAGACACAGAAAACGTCATCAATTTCAAGTACTTTTATCCCCGTATTTCTATTTTAAAGGTTAATACATTGTATTGAAATAGTTAACCTTTTTCAATTTTTATCTTCTCGAGAAGATCTCGTGATGACGCAAATAGCTAAATGCGTTTGTTTTACAGATTCCAATCATGAGCACGTCTTAAATGTGCACTTAAACGAATCGCGAGCATGATCAATGTTCGTCGTAGACACGTCCGGCCGGAATGTGTTTAGATTTAAATCTAAGAAACATTAATATAGAATATATTATCATGTAGTTTATATATAAGGTATACGTTAAGACACTTACTGCTACAGCAAAAATTCAACAGTTAAAAGATTGTAACAACTAGTGTGCGACGGACGCGGAAACGAACGATCGGATAGGTATTCAGGGACTTTCGTGAAACTGGTATCAATTGTTAAATTTTATGACATCCCCAGAAAACAAAATAAAAAATGAAAAATTGTAGAAAAAAAATTTCCAACATAATTGTTGCATAATAATATACTAATGCACAATTGTTGTATAATAGTAAACAAATGAGCGGATTAATTATGGAAATATCGAAAATTCGATTCAAAAGTACAATTGATCGAGTTTCCGAAAATAATGAAGAACTTTCTCCGATCGCATGTTTCGCGGCCGCAGCAGCTTCTTCTCCTCGTGTATCTTTCTTCTCATAGAACATCATTCGTTCCCTTGTAGTTGGGGTCACTTTGGCACGCATTTAGGTTACATTTTCGTTTGTATTGTTTGTAAATGATTGGCATAATGCCGCTGTTTATCAGTTACAAAATCTTGGTTGCTCTTGAGTTGAGACCTGATTACTCGGACGATATTTGTATGATTAAATGCGGCGTCTTTGTTATACGCGCACACAATTGTGTAAAAACTTTTCGCGAACTATAACAAAGAAATATCATACACAGAGAGAGATTGTTGAGATGTGAAAAGTAAAATTTTGCGTTAGAATTTTTGTATTTTTTCTTTTTTTTTTTTTTTAATATTATTATAGATTTTTTGCAATATTCTCGATGTATGATAATATAATTAAAACGATTTTTGAAACCTCGAGTTGTAAGGTATGTGCCACGACTTTTGAATTGAAACAGAAAGATTAACGACGGACGGAGCCAATCACGTTAATTGTGGACGTGTGTATTTAACGAGTAAATCTTCTTCTTGACGGCTACGAAATTCATGTACACATTATTATGACGCATGATGATAAGCTATTATATTGTGATAAATTCTGTTCCGTAATTACGTATAGGTACGTACATATGCTAACGCGTTTTATCTCCGTATTTAAACGAAACGAAAGTGCTAAGTCGTATACTCTGCAATCAGAGATAAGCGCTTCGTGTAAAGTTGTGCGTATAAAAAGTCGCATTTGAAACCCGCTGTATTTATGAAATATTACGCTAGACGCGCGTTTCACAAATGTAAAATACCATTCCAATATAGTATATCAAAAGCAAAAGATGTGTATATGAGCACGCATACAGCTATAACTCATGATTTCAGCGTGGTTGAGATGAACTGTAGGCACACTCGATATATTATGTCGATTCTTCCGATTTTATAATGTGCGATCAATGTTCTTATTTTCCGCGCGTGTATTCGTAATTACATCTCGACTACTGTGTACTGTGTACTGTCTTCTGTGTGTGTGTGTTTGTGTGTGTAATATACCTAAGAGATAAAATATAATTTAATATTTAATATATGTATATATATGTATATATATAATTATATGTAATATAATTAATTAAAATATTTAAATCACATTCGCTCGTAATTACGGTTTATCCCGAATTTTATGCTTTTGGCACTGAACGATTCCATATATGTTGCTTACAATATTTCTGACAAAGATAACGCGATAACAAGTCATTCAAAATATTAGTCGAAGTTGTATTTCACTAAGATTTTTTTGAAAAAATTTACGATTAAGTCAAGTATGCAACATGAGACAATAAAGAACCAAATGAAGTTTTATGCCATACAGTTATGACTTTACATCATCTTGTATACTTGTTAGTTTGGGGCACAGTAGAATTCCTTTTTTTCAGAGACGAGATGACGGTTTATTATAACGTGTTGTGGCGTGCCGTTAAAATTCATGTTTATCAACTACAACATTAAAATACATTAAAAATTGACACATATTTCTTTTATAATAAGTTTCGTCCGCTTCTTCTCCCTCTTTGTAGGCGAGCAAACGATCAATCGACTTAACGAGCGATCGTCAGGGACGGTCTTGGATTCCACAGAGAAACATACATACTTGTACCAATACCGAAATATTTGTACCGATCAAGAGATCAATCGAACATCTAATAAATGTCATTTTGAGATTTTGCAAACCGTGATGATTGTGTTTGACATGTCTTTTTCTATACATCAATTCGCATATAGAATAGATAAGATTTCTTAATATGATACATAAAATATACGTGTGTGTCTATGGATCTAGAAAAATTAAATACGCGAATTTTTGTCTTTCTATACTCCGTCCAGCAAGAGAATATCTTTGGATCGGACGAAAACTCGTCAGTTTTGCGCATCTCCTTTGCTACAGAAAGCTCTCCTCTTTACAACTTGTGCAGCTGCCAGCGAGTGTCTCTCCCCACTTTGCCCGCTATGCTTTTATGCGTAGAGCGAGGATATTCTCTCGCTGGACAGAATATATACATATATATATATATGTGTATGAGCTTAATAAATCTACATAAAAGTAATATCTTAATAAATCTACATAAAAGTTGTAAAAACATTTAGATCATCATGGTTGTGCAAAATAAAGATCGTTGATAGTACAATATGGTATTTCATCTGCATTTATAACACTTCGTATTTATAATATCATATCGTTCTTGTATTTTCACTGCATAATAGTATATTAATAAATTAATATAGTAAGCAAGGGAATATATGTATAAACATTAAATTAATCTTTGTAAAATAGCACCCTTTCCATCCTGACCGGAGTCCTCGCGACATGTCATGTTGTGACTCAGTACTTTTTATTGATTTCATTGACTATTGGCCTGTTTTTCTTACGTTCCACTCCGTAATATGTACGAGTACCATAAAATAAATCTATTATACATAAAAATATAGTCTTTGCTGAGCCTTAAAAAAAATACAATTTGTAATAAAAAGATAGGCCTGCCTCTCGCTCTCTCCCTCTCCCCTCTTTCTCTTCAAACATTAAAATAAATATTTTTATCTTATTTGCTGAAAAATAGAAACTATAATTAAAAAATAAAATTATAAATCAAATTAATATAACAATTAAAAATTGAAAATAAATGAATATGAATAGTCAATGAAAATCAACGAAATGTCACAACATCTTGAGGATCTTCCGAACAGTACGAAGTTGCAGTCTTATAAATTTTACTGAGAATTTTAATAATTTCTCCTTTCTTTCTTCTTTTTTGTTTTTTTTTTTTTTTAATTACACGACGATTAGTGCAATAGAGAGCAAGAAAGATGGACATCACATTTGTGCTGTGAATTTATCTCTACTTTCAGTCTTTCTCCATAATCCAGTCTATAATTCTAGCACCATCTCGCAGCTTTCCCCGTATGTCAGGATCGACGCAAACGGGCGGACAGCTAATCGTTTTATTCATTAATCGGCTGCACAATATAACACGTTTACATAGCTAATATGAGTGAGAGAGAGAGAGAGATCTCGTTAAAATTCAAAGGTTACATTAAATTATCGACAGTTGCATGCAATTATTTATACGATGTCTAGCGTCTAAAAAGGAAAAGTCTTACCGATGCTGAATTGGTGAACAATCATGTGTGTTTTGCCATCATTTTCTTTTATAAAATCGTCTTCTTAATATTTTAAAATTATATTTCAATCATCCTCGTTGCTTCTTACTTCGTTTTTTTTTTTTTTTATGTTTTGCGACATCGTGAATCCTCAAAGCTCGACTTCTCTCATTATTTTCTTTTGACTGTCCACCAAGTTCAACGCTTGTAGTTTTCCCCGTGAATCCTAGTATCTAGATCGCAGTATTGACAAAATGAGGACGTATGAAGGAACCTCCCGGAACCACTATTTTTTTGCTCTCGTCGTCTGAGACTATCTTCGTTAGTTGGTCGTGTCCGGATTTGAGGACGGGGAGGACGACGGACTTTGCACCAGGTCGTTGTCATCGTCTCTCGAGGAAGTCAGCAGCGAAGGGTTTATCAGCATGCCACGCGGACTGAAGGTGTCGCAGTAAAGATTCTCCTTTTTATGCACTCGTCGTACGTGACTGCGTAAATTGTCGCGCCGCGCGCTACGGTAAGCACAGTGCGGACACAAATGTGGTTTCTCACCCGTGTGCATGCGCCGATGCTGTATCAGCTGAAAAGACAGAGCAAAACCGTATAAAATGAAATACGAACTTTAATTCGCATATAAAAAAATACTATAAGAAATTAAAAAAAAAAATTTGTTTAATTTTTTTCTTACATTTGTAATCTGTAATTAGCGTTCCTCTACAATTTTGATTACCTTTTTTAGTTGAACCGTGCGAAAGATGCAAATATCGCAGCAGAAGTATCGGTCGTCTCGATGCCTGCGCATATGTCTGCTGAGGTCGACTTCTGAAGATCGGTCGGCGCCGCAAACGGCACAGCTCACTCTCGTCTCCGGCGCGGTGCCCCTCGCGTGCGCCCGCAGATGTCTCTGGAACGCCTTCTCGATCGTGCACGCATACGAGCATAACGAGCATCGATATTCTTCTCTCTCGTATCTGTAAGAATATCACAAAAACAATGTACATGAAAGATAGAAGAAAAAAAATAAGATAATAATATTTCAAAATCTTCTTTCTTAATCTTTTTCAATTCTACATCTTTTTTTTAAATTAAATTTAGAAAATATTTTTCGAGGAAAAAATATCTATTTGAGAGTGGACATAACGTAAATATTTGCAAATAGTATATAAAATTGTTCGAGTACCTATACCTGACGCGTTGCAAGGCCAGCGAGCGTTTCTTCCCCGTGGGCGTCATTCCCTGAGCCACGTGCGCCGCCACGTGAGTCTCCATCTCGCACCTACTGCTCGTCGTGAAATCACAACCCGTGGACGGACACTTCTTGGTCTCGCCGGTCTCCGCGGCGGACAATGTTGGATGGCAATCTGCTATGTGCTTCCTCAGAGCCGGTCTCGTCGGTGCTACTACGTCGCAAGAACCGCATGAATAGCCGTGATGAACGCTGCTCACGTTCGGACTACTGCCTCTTGATCTTAACAAAGAAAATGTGTTAAAGTACATACAGAAACTACCTTTAATTTTAATAACAAAAATTCTAAATAAATAAAATTGGTAAAGTTGAAATGAACGTTTTTAAAAATGTTATTTTAGAGAAAAAAGAAGTAAACACAATAGGTTTGCACAGAATTTAAAGTATAATGTAACCGAAGTAAACTAAGTTTACATACTGCTCAGTATAAGACGAGTGTTCGCTCTCTGAATCACTGTCGGAGGGAATATTGCGGACTTCCGTTGTTTTGAGCGCCGCATTAGCGGCAGAGAGCCTGCCCAGCATTGCCGTGTAAGCACCTAACACCCAGCCATTTAGGATCGGCGTCACTGTTCCTTGCTGAATATTAAACAGTGGTATCTACTGTACAAAATTTGCATAAATGTGCTATCGTGTTGAGAAATTGTCGATCGATCGATTTCGTGGTAGGATATCCCGAGCGTATGTAATTACAAATTCGAAAAGTACATTTGGAAAAACTCAAATTATTTTAATGGACGAACCTTGTCGAGCGCCAAGCATGACATCGGATCGGGAAGTTTCGCGATTGATAGATTATTGTTAGCCGATCGATGTGAACTGTTGGTGCTGCCGGTGTCGCTCTCGTCACCAGCATCTTCGTTGTCATTGGTCTCACTTAACACACAAGTCTGATCGCCGAACGACATGTGTAAAGATAATGGAATATAAAAAATATTTACTGCAGAGAGAGAGTTGTATTATACTGATTTTCTTTAAGATATGTCTCTCATTACTTTCATATGTTGAACTATCATACATCAGACTTAAATTGAAGCAAAACTTTAAAATATAAATTTTTTATCAAATAAGCGATTCGCAAACATTTCTGAGATTCGTATTCACAGTTGTAAAACAATCGTTGAAGCAATCGATCTTGAACGATTGTACAATACATAACTATTATGTGTTTTGAAACACATATATAAATAATTAGATATTTTAATATAATAATTATATATTGTTCTCTATTATGCGTGTTGAACAATATATTACTTCACTGACTATGAAATATTAATAAAAAAATCAAAGATATTTCCTATTTATTGTTTTAAATGTCAAGTAATCGCACCTGATTTTCATTTTCACTTTGATCAGCTTTTTCGATGTTGCCTTCGTTGTCGCGTTGTTGAGCATCTTCATCCTCAGTGTTTCTAGTCTCTTCGGCATTCGTGGACGCAATTGAAGTTGGCTTGGTAATCAGTTCGATGGGAATGTATGGCGGTCCCGCTGCCATCAATGGTAGCGGTAAAATATCCGGCCGATGAAGAGCACTCAGAGCGAAGGCAGCTCTCGGCAGGACCTGCGTCGCGCCTAAAGGCAGAATTGGTTGCCTTCGGGCGAGACGCGGGTCACCCCAAAGTTCACCCGCGACTTGAAGACTCCAGATGCCATATTCCATCTGGAATAAATTAGCGGAATATGTGTAATTATAATTCCGCTAATGCGCATTACGTTATCAAAAAGAGTAGTCTGGACTTGTTCAAATATTGAGTTTTGCTCATTTTACTTGTAAGTAATAAAATTTTTATATTTCATACTGCCAATAAAAACAATTCACCAGAATAATATATATTTATCAGCGTGTGTAATAAAATTGAATAAAACTTGTAATAAATAAAAAATAATATTTGCTAACACTTGCTTTTCTTTGGAATACGTTTGCATGAAAAAAAGTTTCAACAATGTTTCTATGTATGTGCAAAGAACTTTATTCGATATCTGTAAAAATGAAAAGAAAGCATTTTCTGACAAAAACACTATGTTATCTTTTCAGTGATGTTGTTCTTTTTCGTGTAAAATTGTTCAAAAATGTGCAAATATAATGTTGCCTATTTTTGAATTTGAACTATCTCGCTAAAATTGAAAGTTAATTCAACTTTTTCTCAATAAATCTGAATAAGTTCATTAATATAAATATTAATATAAAATCCTGTCTCGATGTTATTCTTTTTGAACTTATTTTACCAATTCCAATTTTTGAAAATATTTCTTGATATTTGGTGTTTAATATTTTTGCTCAAAATTTGTTTTATTGATATGTTACGTATCATTAACTTTTAAATAAAAAAATAAGAATATAAACTATAGCACTTTGAAGTTTAACAAAGAACACATCAACTCAAAATACTTATTGAGCTTTATTATATGTGTATAAAAGCACTGTACAAAAAAGGAAAGAGTAGGGGAACGAGAAGAGAGATTAGTGGTGGTGCTAGAATCAATACTTATATGCAATTTTCAAGCAAGCTAAGAGTATTTGTTACACAGATATCATTATTGTTACATAATTCTGTTTCTTCAATTCTTATTAAAGAATTGTGATTATTTAATTAAGTTGTTAAAACGTGAAGAGAAAGAGAGAGAGAAAGAGAGAGAGAAACACGTACAAAAATATATTTGTGTATGAACATGAAATTATACTCTATTGTACAGTAAAAGGATCATTTTGTTATTATGTCTAATAAGATATATTTTTTCTGGTTTATTATATATATTATGTATTTATAATATTAGTTTTTTATTATGTATTCTAGATATGTGTAGAGAAGCGTGGCAAATACGACGAAGTGTCGAGTAATTTGATCTCAAGTTTTGTGTGTGTATGCATACGCGTGCGCACATGAGAAGAGAGAAATACATAAGATAAAATATTTGTTACCAAGTACTTAACATAAAAATATTGACACAAAAGTATTAGTATCAAAATTTTTTTATCAATTTTTTTACAAAAGTTTTTTTTCTATTTTAGCTTCGTTTTTAGCTCCTTCAAAAATATGCACAATCTCTAAGATTTAGAACATTCTTATTATATATATAATAATCCTTTATTCTATACATATATATGTATGTGTGTGTGTTTGTATTCTTTATTATTTATATATTTAACATTAAATTTTTTAATTTCTCTTTCTATTTTGCTTGATTAAAATTATTATCATATATTATTACATATTTTCATTAAAGCTTTATCTTATATGTGGAGATAAATACACACATACAATTTTTATTCTTTAATAAAACAGGATAACATTCGCTGTCTTATAATTTTAAATAAATAACATTGATTACAAACTTATAAAAAAGAAAGAAATAAATATCAAAAATATTCATAATTAAAAAATATCCTGAGAAATATGCGCAAGTAGTTTCACATACAATTTTAACAGGCATCTATTTTTTACATGTTTACATATTTTGTAAGTAAAGCTACTTACATATTCGAAATTCTGAGATGAGATTAATTATTCTCTATTCTGTGTGTTCATTTGCTCTATATTATGAGTTATAATACTTTGTTTAGTTTTCAATAGCTTTGTTATATGTCTCATTTTAAACATATACATATAATTTTACATAAATTTGTTTCCTATACAAGTCGAATAACGTTATGGATAAAAGATCAGTTTTTTGTATTTTTGAAATAATACAACAAACATTCTACTGATGATATAAGTTTAATGTAAGTTAATAAGTATAATTTTATATGTTTTGTGTGTTTTACTGTAGTACATATATATATATATATATGTATATAAAAGTAATATATTTCTAATTATAACTGAAAGAACGATCTGAATCATTTGAAAGATGCATAAAAAAGAAAATTTCTTTTCCGCAAAAAAACAAAGTTTAAACCAATTACCACCACCGTCATATTTTGAGATCGACGATGCGCGAAAACAAGTTCTTAAATAATAATGCAACACTCGCAAAAATACCAGGGAGATTCTTTCAAGAGTATCCCCCTGTAATGGCCTACCGCAACAATTCGTGCCGATCGTCATTACGCGGGAATCATCCCCCGTCAGTTGCCCCCTCTCCTTTGCCGTAAGACCGGGCCGATCTCCACCTTACCGATCGACCGGAAATTCACGCGCGTCGCGGTTTAGCGCCGCTACCCCCGCTACACTCATGACAACGACGCAACGAAGATGATGATACCGACAACGAAGACGACAAAGACAACAAGAACGACGGCGGTGGCGGCAGCGGCGACGATAATGTAGAAAAGAACGTGATGTCGTGTTTCGCGAGTATCGAAGTCAAAGAGAAACGAATATCGGATCCGCCGGATACGTGCCGCCGTAGAACGAACGAACTCGCGAGATTCCTGACCATTGGACCGACCCTCGTGCATGCATACTTTAGCATAACGTTCTCTATACAATATCCAGAAAGAGGGAAAGAGACATTGCAGATACGGGGATAGGAGGTGACGCGCGACGAGGGGAGGACTAGTCTGCTCCTCACCCTCATCGGGCTCGTTCTTTCTCGTTTGCACAAAATGCACCCTTTCACTCGCGCTACAAGCGGGGGGAAGTGGAAAGAAGCCCCTGGCAGCCGTCCTACCCCTCGCGCTGACCCCTTCTCCCTGCCCGACCCCCCTGACCCCAACGCTGCCGCGAATCGATTTGTTATTGTTTTTGTGTCTGCGGTCGTCGCGGCGGATGGAGTGAGCGGAGTTATATCGGGAGCGGGCGAGGGGCTAGTGAGGTGAGTGAGGTGGGGTTGCTGGTGAAGCAGTGATGCTGCTGGTACGGCTGATGCTAGCGCGGTTGGTGGTGGTAGTGGTGGTGGTGGTGATGGTGGTGGTGGTGGTGGTGATGGTAGTGGTGGTGGTCGCGCTCGAGCTTCGAAGGCTTCGGTTTTCGGGCCGGCAGAGAGGCGACCAGGGTGAATAAGCTGCTGCCGCTGCTGCTGCCGGGGGAGAGGGCGCAGGAGGAACTCGCGAGGGATCGTGAGAAGGGAAGGAGGGAGAAAAAGGGATGGATACACGGTTCCGATCAGTGGCGTAGAACCGCGTGGCGTGAGTTTTCAAAAGTCCTGAAAATCTGTTTTTTTTTTTTTTGTTTCGAAGTTTATGTGCTCGAAGATATATACTCGAAAGCCTCAATCTCAAAAATGGCTGTGCAAAACTATATTGTAAAGTGACAAGTACAATTTTCATGAGAAACGTGAATCTTACAAGAAATGGAAATCTAGCTACAGAAAAAGGTTGATTACGCCATTGGCGTTGCCTTTGAAAAGAGCGAGAGGAAAACAAGAGAGCTGAGGATAGAAGCTGGTACAATGACGAAGAGGAGAAAGGGTAGGTAGAAGAGGAGTAAATCCCCGTAAGGGAAATAGTAAAAAGAGGAGAAGAGAGGGAAGAAAGTGATCGCGTGGATTAAGCTGAGAGGGGATGCTGCGCGAAGACGAATGCGAGAGAAGGAGAGGATAGTGTGGATCGGATTGCATCCTCGGGTTGCATTAAGAGTAGCGAGAGAAAGACAGAAAAAGAAAGAGAGAGGATTGAAAGGACAGAAAGAGGAAAAGAAGGGGAGGGGTAAAGAGATAGAGAGAGAAAAAGAGCGAGTAGAAGAGCAAGGGATGGCAGAGGCAAGGGGTGCGGACACGTCGGCATCGACTTGACAGGTGACAACCGATCGGACCACTGACGTCACAGATCACTTAGCCGAGCACGCGCACGCACGCACAGACTATACAATTCGCAAGTACGTACGCGACGTGCATGAGACTGGGAGCTATGCATCACACTCGCGTACGCCACTGTGCACCATTGACACACGTCGACACGTCACGTTCGGCACGTCACGTGAGAAAGAAAAAGATCGTTTCGCGAGAGATGAAACGCGAGCGAGAAAACAGGATACAAATGAGGGGGACATAAAATTAAGAAGAAAAAACAGATTCGAGGCAATAAGCACGATGAGCATCCAAAATAAATATAGATGATTTGTTGGATAAATAGAGGGAGAATTTTTACGTGTAACGCGATTTTTCTAGAAATGTACTCGCGGCTGATATTTACCGGGTGTTAACCACCGGCTGATAGCCCCGCGCGCGACGTCTCTCTATCTGGTTACCATTACACTCGGATGTATGAAATGCACCACGGGCATACAACCATCCCCCCACAATAGCCCTATTTATGATTGGGCAAAATTGCTTTCCATGCGCAGAATAAAATCTCGCGCGCGGGTCCAGGAAAAATCCGCGGGGCGCGCGACGGAACGACGCTCCGCTATTTTTTCTCGCTTATACATTGCGCTTTCACCGCGCACGCAGGTCAGAGCGATGCGGGTGAGTCAGCGTGCACGCCAACATGTACGTGCGAGCACGATGACGTGCGACGTATCGCTGTTTTCTGTTGATTTTTCTCGCAGTCTCATATATCCGAGATTCCCGAGGAATTAAATATGGTCTATCGTGGTCGCGTGCGCACCGTGGCGCTGCGGTACCTACCATTCGACCAATCGTGTTGAAATAGATTAAATTGTTGGACAGCAGGTGCTATCTAGCGGCGGTAGTTTCTTGATCATACCTAGATGGCACTTATTTTCCATAAGCTACTTGAAATCTGAAATTAGAAACATATCAGGTACGGGCGCTCTGTTCGTTCGAAAAGCGTCCGCCTAGTAACAGGAGGTATTCACGTGATCATCTAGTATCTGTCTGGTGCATCTTTTTTTAAACCGTTTACAAAAATTTATCTTATCTTCCTCGATGTACATTGTAAAATAAAACTTGTTGCGATAAGCTCTGTATCTTCTTTCCGCGGTATTTTTGCTTTTACTTGTGTGATCGATTTTTGGTAAGCATATATAAAACTTTACAGAAGTAAAACTCATGTTCTCTAATCACATTTTCATGCTAACTATATGACACTTGATTGGTGACTTTTAATGTTTGGAGTGATCAACGTTCCCTGTATTTTATACCATACACTTTTCTCGTGCTGCTACACACTGATCAATCGATATCTATAAATTTGTTTGTTATTTAGACAAAGTTAAAATAATTTATTACGTTGTTACACACACACACACACACACATTCTCTTTTTACTCTCAGTCTCACTTATTGATATCACAATTTAATGCTTCTAATTTTCAGTGATGAAAGTGTCAATAAATATGTTACAATTGCGAGCTTTGAATGTAGTTAAGTTAATCGTTAACATCGATTGTAAAATATCGCAGTTTTCAACGTCATACATCACTCGCAGAACAAATCATACGAAAGTCATCCCTCGCTTAAGTATACAAGTCAAAAATTTCAACTGCAAAATATGTTCGTGGTGTGTTAAAATGTATTTTTTAAATATCAAAATTTTTAATTATTGCTATTATATCAAAACAAATCTGAAGAGAGCATGTGTTTTATAAAGAAATATTTATTAATTAATAAAATAAAAGTGTACAAAAGTTAACATTTGTTTTTTAAACATGTACATACAAATATACTTAATAACGTAAACAGATTCACATGTATTCTAAAAATTTTGAAGTTGAATTATGTGATATAGAGCCATGATGCAAGACATGCATAATTTTATTTATGTTATTAAGTACAAATGCTGAGTTTACAATAATTATTATTTTAAACTGGAGTCTAAAAACTTGTTTGCTAATTATGATGAATGTTATTTCAATCTGAGTTTAAAACTTGTGTTTGCTTATTTGATAATTTAAAAAAATTTTATCTTATTATATAATTGGTGAAGATCTAATACATACACATGTAATATAAATTTATATATTAATAGATAATGTTAAATTAATGTTTCAGTGTAAAACAAGCATATTCAGCAATGAATATAGACACTAGTTTGCATATATTACCCAACAATCAACCTATTGTTACCTTGGATTGTGATGTTGCTCTTAAAGCTTTGACACAAGAGGAAAAATTGTATGTTCATTATTTGAGTCAAGCAGCATGGCACGGAGGACTGATAGTATTAATACAAACATCACCAGAATCTCCATTGATATTTGCATTATTGCACAAAATTTATATTGCCGAACCTATCAATGAGTTGAAAGATTCCTCACTACGTGCCAATGTCACAGAAGATGAGTTTACTGTAAGATATTTTATTTTGCACACTATATCTCATTTGTCTAAAATTTATTTATTAAATAAAGTAGTAAAAGAATCTTGCAGTTTTCTTATAGAATTTGGGTTTTGGTGAAATTGACTAAATATTTAATATAATGTAGTCAAAAGTCCAATGGGCACAAAGTCCTTAAAGTGGCTAATTTTCAGAATATGACGAATCAGAAGTTGGAATATTGCCACCTACTGATCGAGTGTGCGCAGGATATGAAAACTATTGACTGAAAAACATGGATAGAAATGAAATATTAAGATGAGACTTGGCAAGAATGAAACTGAGAACAGTACGAGATTAAAGTGCTATGTATGGTGAATGCGGATAATGTGATCAACTTAGGACCGAGTGTTTTAACAAATAGACAAAGATTTTAAAATTTAACTAAACTGCGTCAGATAACCAAAAAACTCAAAATTAATGTTTTTACAGTACCGAGTAGATTGATGTAACTCTGTTTTTCATATTTATAGTTATCTGTTCACACAAACAGGCATTTACATGTAGCTATCCTGTATACTCTGTTTTCATCTTCAATTATCCTGAGAAACACACTGGCCAAAGTTCATCTGTGTACTCAGTCCTAAATTGGTCATATCATCCAGTTGGTCGTATTACCCGCACTCATCGTACGTAACCCTTCAATCTCATACTGTTCTCAAATACACGCAGTCTCATCTTAATCTTTTATTTCTATGCTTCTAAGCAGTAGATATTCTACACACACTCAATTAGTAAATGGTAATATCTCAATAAGTAGATGACATCATCCAACTTGTCGTATCTCGGAAACTAAACTAGCCATTTTCGGATTTCGTACTCTTTTAATCGGGACGATATCTTGTATTAAACGTTCAATCAATTTCACCAAAATCTAATTTCCATAAGAAAACTGCGGAGTCCTTCGAATAGGCAGTAACAATTTAATCTAATAGATAAGCAAGCATTGTGACAAGTAAATTTATTTATGCACCTATTATATTTTTTCAGGCTTTTTTAGTTTATTCTTGTGGTGTATTTTCAAATTCAGGCAACTATAAATCTATGGGCGATACTAAAATCATCCCAAATCTCCCCAAAACTGCATTTGAGACAATAGTGAAAGTTTCAAAAGCTTACAACAATAATTCAGCAGAAATACAAGATATATTGGATAAAATATCCCATACTCTATATTCTTTGGACGACAATGAGAAAGCATTGGGATTTAGAAATAAAGGTATCACAACTTATTTCTCTGCAAATTGTACCAAAGAAGATGGAGATAAAGTCAATGCATTCATGGAACACAAAGGATTAGAATCCTATAATGCTAGATGTTTTAAGACAACCGTTAATGATCTTGCACTAAGCGATGGTAAAGTCGATGTGTACGAAATCAGATTGGCATCAGTGGAAACTTCAGATGATCCTAGAGTAACGCTACCTGAAGAAACATTTCAGAATGCCAAATTTAAGATTACACGGGGCGATTACAGCAAACTTCTGGTGGATGTTGTAGAAAACCTTGTAAAAGCTAAAGAACATGCATCTAATCAGATCGAAAAAGATATGCTGGCTAAATACATTGATCATTTCAGAACGGGATCATTGGAAGATCACAAAAATGGTTCTCGTTTGTGGATTAAGGATAAAGGACCGGCTATCGAAACTTACATTGGTTTTATAGAAACATATAGAGACCCTGCTGGACAACGTGGAGAGTTTGAAGGTTTCGTAGCAGTGGTGAATAGAATAATGTCCGAAAAATTCGCGACATTGGTCAATAGAGCTGAAGAATTTATTCCTAAACTACCGTGGAGCAAGGATTTTGAAAAGGATACATTTTTGAGACCGGATTTCACTTCTTTGGATGTTGTAACATTCGCGGGTTCTGGTATACCGTCGGGAATAAATATCCCGAATTATGATGAGATCAGACAGGCTGAGGGTTTTAAAAATGTATCTTTAGGGAACGTTATACCCGCACATATGAAAGATGTTCGTGGAATCGCGTTTCTGTCTGAAGCTGATCAAGAATTAATGCAGAAGTATAGAACAATCAGCTTTGAGGTACAAGTAGGTTTGCACGAACTTCTAGGTCATGGAACTGGTAAATTATTAAAACAGACAGGTCCGAATACTTACAATTTTGACCGTGAAAATATGAAGAATCCTCTAACCGGCGGTAACATAGATAAGTTCTTCTTGAAAGGCGAAACTTACGACTCCAAGTTCGGCGCAATGGGATCCTCATATGAGGAATGCAGAGCAGAGGCTGTTGGTCTTTATTTGAGCTTGGAAAACGAAGTGTTGCGTATATTTGGCCACGAAGGACAGGTAGCAAGCGACATAACATATGTAAACTGGTTATCTCTATTGTGGACTGGTTTTGCAAAGGCTTTTGAAATGTATCAACCATCTACTGGAACGTGGTCGCAAGCTCATTCTCAAGCTCGCTATGTTTTGCTTAGGGTGTGTTTGGAAGCAGGTGAAAACTTTGTGAACGTCGTTGAAACTGAAGAAGGAACGAATCTTCGGTTGACCGTCGATCGCAGCAAACTCGCCACTGTTGGTAAAAAAGCTATTGGTGATTTCCTCTTAAAATTGCAAGTTTACAAGAGCATGGGAGATGTAGAGTCGGCTAAGAAAATGTACGAAAGATACAGTGAAGTACCTAATGACGGACCGTATCCATGGGCTCGCTGGAGAAACATAATCCTAGCTCGCAAAGAACCAAGGAAGATATTTGTTCAATCAAACACATTTATTGAAGGTTTGTAATAAGAGCAAAATGTGTGTTTTATATTGGATTTTTTGTTAAATTATTTGAATGTAAAAGAAAAAAGAGAGATATATCTTATATTAGTTTTCATACATCAAATTTTTCTATGTATTTCAGGTTCCAATTCTAATAATGTAGTACTGAAAAGTTACGAACCAACATTCGCGGGACTCATTCAATCGTGGATAGACAGATTTCCGAGTTCAAACACATCTCAAACCCTGATAGAGCTTTGGCACAAGGACAAACATCATTTTATCACTAACTAATGAATACGAGTTCTTATGTCAGGTTCCGATTATTAAAAGTGTTAAAAATTCCAAGAAAAGTAACATGTGAAGAAAAATTCCAACTTTTCTTCATATGTTCTTTTTTATGTTATACAATACGTAAGATTTTCTCTTTTTTCAATTTTTATATATTTTGCACTGTGCAATAGCATAACACTTCCGGTGGTGGTTTTGATCTTGTATATTTACTCATATTACCTATATTTTTACCTTCAAAAAATATAAAAGGACCTGTTAGAACAACTGAGAGTTGGTTTGAAGGTAGGCCCTCTAATCCAATTTCAACTTTAGTTTGATTATATACATATATAGTTGCGTTATATAAGTAACGCAATATTTTGTCTCTCTTCAGTTGATAACTCGACTTGGTACTCAAAAGTCCCCCAAAAAAACTCAAATTAGAACTTTCAAAAGCCGTAATTTTGTACTAAGACTACTAAATTAATAGGCTAGTCTATATTATAATTTCTAAAAATAATTGATACATTCTGAACTGACACAATTTTATTGCGCTAAATATTTTGTCTGATTTCAAATCTTATTCTTGTCCAAGTTTTTTTTCGTATATTTAAATTATCAAATATTACAAATTATTAAATATTATATATTTAAAAGTAATAACTAAGAACGAAAAATAAGACTATTAAAAGGTAATTTGTACGTTTATAGGTTTTTATATTCAGACTACACTTGGATTATATATTTAGCATAAATTGTGTAGGGTAGCTATTACGTAATTTTTTGGAATCTATTCCACTCCACGGAATAATTTCGATTTGTGTTAGTTTTTCTTTTTGTTTTGAAAAGATAAGAAAAAAGCAAAACGATAAAATTATTCCGAATTATTCCGAGTGAAATTAATTCCGATAAGTTATATAGCTATCCGGAAGAATGAAAAAATGTATTTAAAGTTTAACAAATGTGAGTTTATATGAAAAATATACAGAGATAATTGTTTATTATAATAATATATGTACAGATAAAACAGGTTGAAATATTTATAAATGAGATTGATGTTTTCTTTATCATCATTTGTTTCAGCTTCAGATTTGCAATAATAGATTTATTTCTGTTTAATTAATTTGTGTAGCTTTTGTTAATTCTTTTGTAATATATATATCAAGTTATATACCATTCGTGTGTGTGTACACACAAAACTTTCTATAGGGATAAAGAATAATTGTTGTGAAAAGTTCCCAGAAAACACATTTGCCTAGTGGATATCGATACTGAATTGAATATCTCGAGAGTTTTGGCGGCAAGAAGTCAGTAAAGCAGGTTAGAACGGTTGTGGCAGTGTGGAAGCGAGTGTTTCAGATTTGTGATTTCTTTTATATCAAATAAGATGGAAGAAAAACAGTCTTTATCCAAGTTATTTCAAGATTTAGGTTGTAAAGTCAAAAGTGACGTCATTCTTGATAAATGTGAGAATTTTTTTTTATTGAAGTATCTTAAAAGATCGAAGATAAATCTCTCTCAAAACGCTTCTGTTTTATCCTTAGTTATGCTTTTACTTTCAAACAATATAAAAAAAAAACCTGTCAAAAAGTGTAGATATCTTGTATTATAAAGATAATTTTATTTTTTTCAACAAATATTTATAAAAATGTAAAGATATTTGAAATGTATTCTCTTTGCGTTTATATAACCTTACTTTTAAACTGAAGGACAATAAGAATATGAAAAGTTAAACATGTAATTTATCAGATTTGATTATAGTAATATTTAAATATGTGATGCACACAGGTTTGGGACTTTGTGATTCTTACAATGTAGATGTGGAAAAGTTTACAGAAATGTGGCTTACTTTTTGCATTAACAATAATGATGACATTGATCCTACTCTTGAAAGTCTTATTAAAATGGAAAATATAATATTAAAAAACAAGTCACATGATATATCTAAAGAAAACAATACAAATCAAAAACAAACAGTAGATAAAGAATTTATTGAAAGCACATCTTTCCTGTATCCTTTAATATTTTATAAAATTTTGAAATTATTTTGAGAGTTAAATTTACTAATATGAAATCTTCAATAAATATATAATTCCTTACATGTAAATATTATAGTGACAGTGACGATATACTTAGCATATATGGCTGTACTGATCATCTATCACCAAAGGTGAGTTTGTTTTTATTTTTTTACAGTAAATTTTATATATAAGTAAATATAAAATATGTCAAGTAACACTTAAATTAGTATCTTATAAGTTTTATATAAAACAATACATATATATATATATATATAAAATTTATAATCGAAGTATTTTAGTAATATGCAATTTATTACATTACAAAAAATTGTTCTTTTAAAGACTGCTTTTACTTTTAAATGTTTACTCTTTTTATTAAAATATCTGAATTTGAAATTTTTACTCTTTTAAATATATTGTAAATTATCTGGAAGTAAAATCTACTTCATCTATAAAACATATATATGTATACATATATATATATATATATATATATATATCTATGTAGAAAAAAGAGAAAATAGTTTTTGATAATAGTTTTATTCAAATTATTGAACGCAAGAAAGCAGTGTTAGCAAAACAATATAAATGTCATCTATCTCATAGCCTATCTGTCGAAGCAATGCTGTTTTTCTTGGTAAAAAGAATTGGAAAAATTCTTTCAAGAATATCAAAAGGAAACGGCATTGTTCTGATAGATACCTTAGTATGCGAGTACACAACCATGTTGATTATTTATCATTTATGTCATTCTGGCAACACTGTCTCGCATTTTTTGCGTCAGGTCCTAGAGTCTACAGTGTTCCTTGTTCACATCTATGGCACATTCGTTTTACGATAACGCGGCTACATTTTTCTCAAACATCTGCGAATTGTTATGCTGGGATATTGTATCGCATAAGTTTGTCCGATCGAAAGAGAAGCAAGAGATTTTTTGAAACACATCGCACATTCCGTTCACCGACAGGTGATCTCGTTCCTTGGGGGCTTGAAGGAGAGAGAGTGAAAGAGAAAGAGAGGAAAGGGGAGGGAGAAGGCATAGAAGAAGAGAAGCATCGTTGCAGGATCTCTCGTTTTGAGACACCGTAATTCCCGCCACAAAAATCATCCAGGTAGATTACCTCCACCGCGCCACCCTGTTCTTTCTTCAACAAAGGATATTCTGCTAAAGTAGGAGGGGAGAGGACGACCTGTTCCTATTGGTGGAACGAGGACGAAGCGTACTGTTCCAGCAGCAATGGAGAGGGTCCTCTTCTTCTCTCTCCCCTCTTTCTTCTCTTCGGAAACCGAGCAGATTTCTTTCTCGAAGGGCACGATTTCAGTTTTCAAGGACTCGCCCGGTGCGTCGCTTTCGGTTCCTCGCTCTCGTTCGCGCATTCACGTACGCTTCCTCGATGCGAACAAAGTTCGGCGCGCTGTCTCACGGTCTTGCTCGTTGTTTCGCGATTCGCTAACACTCGTTTCGGATAGATTTTCTTTCGCAGATATATCGATATCGTTTTCAGTGAGAGATGCACAGCCTCGGTATCTCGATGGCGTCATCGACGCGACGCCACCATCGCGGCGTCTGACAGTGCGAGTGAGCGTCTTTGCGTTAGAGTAATCGGCCCGTTGAGCGAGTGATACATCTTTCGAAAAATTATCCGCTGTTTTATTCCAAAAGCGAGTTGATCGATTTTGTGATCGCGCGGATCGCACGGAACTCGGTCTCGTCGGTGAGCACGTTCCCGGCCGGTGTCGATGAAAAAGTCGACGTGCGACGACAGTTACGTGATACGAAGAGCGCGGAGAGAAGCGCTAATGTCGGCAGCCATGATGGCTTTCGGCGCGAGTGAAGCTTACCGAATAGGAGTAAATCCCGATGATAAAAAGCCGTTTCTATCGTGATTTCTGTCTACCGACCGCGTTCGAGCGTTCTTTCTCATCAAGGAATTTCACAACACGGATCGTAAAAGTGAAATTGACAAGTCATCAATTCCAAAGCGATTAACCTCGCTTTTCCTGTGATCGCGCGAATACACGCGGGCGCATGCGCACTCGTAAGAAAAAGAGGAGAGGGAGAAGGGAACGCGGACACGAGTGCGTCGACCGTTGCTTCGACAAATCCTGTTGATCGTGCCGTTCGTTGCGACAACCTGTTGCGCCGATGGCTACGACAAGGCGTGCGCCCGACGCACTATTCTGTGATACTTTTGTTTCATCCAATATTGTAAAATCAATTTAACTGACTTCGGGAAAATTGTAGAAACAGTTTTGCGTATAAGTTTTTAGCACATAGGAAAGAGGAAATTGATATAGGGAATATTTCATAATTTCTATTTGTTGCACTACTGAAGGTTACACAAATTAATGGAAATTTAATAACATGTTTCATATATACTTAGCATTTTTCAGTACTTTAATATGTTTATTCAGTTTAACGTTTCAATATATTAAAAGAAATTTTTTTCTTATTGTCTTCTCAAAAAAAAGATTAACATTTTTTATGTTCTGAAAATTACCGAGACGTGTGTAAGTATTTTTACTACTTTTTTCTTTTTTTATAAGTGTATATGAAAAAAATTGGAGCAAGACTCGATTGGAAGTTGATTGCTTCAATCGACACAGAGTGAAAAGAGATAAATTTTTCAGCGAGCCTTTCACTGATGATGTAGGACTTTCGTGTGTTTACCATGGTGTTTGTAAGCTTTCTCTTCAATCGCTTGTTGAGAATTGTCCGGAGAATTGTCTCTACGTGCTCTTGCCTGCTGATAAATAACGCGACTAACTCGCGTCTCGCAAAGCGAGACAATATCGCGTTTGACCAGCGAATTCCTCGTGCGCGTTCGTCGGTGTCTCTCCATCAATTAAGCACAATTGAACAACAACTGTTCCAATCTCTTCCCTCGTCCGCACGGCTTTCGGTTCATCGCGCATTTCTTTCATCTCTGTTCTTTGTGCTGTGGCCACGTGACTTGCTCGGGATAGATCAATATTGTTCGTGGATGTCTGAGCGAACGGTCGATCGGGACAATCATCAGCTCGTTCTCTAGCAGCGCGAGTATAATTGATCTTGAAATTGAGATTTTTCCCGTTGGGAACAATGGATCGCGAGATCTATGGACGTAGGGAGAGTATTGTAGGGCGGAGAAAAAGAAGAAAAATGAAATATTGTATAGCCAACGCTAGAACGATTGAGACACTTGTAAGTAATTCAGTACAAGTTTATTTTCAATAGTTTAACTTATTCTGTGTAGAGTATACGTTTATAAGTCGAGTATTTTTCGAAACTTTAACAACCAAATAAAAAAGTCTCAGTTGGAAAATGTATACTAATATATGTAGTATTTATATTTTTATGTAACTCTTATTTTATGTGTATATAAAAAAATAAAAAATTTTTGTAATTAAACGGAATCTCAACCGTTCTAGCATGAACAAAACACTCGAAAAAACTACTCATAAAATTTTGTTTCACAAAAAAACATGTAGTTTTTTTTGTAAATGTTCAAGTATCTCAACACGGCATTTTCATGTTATATATTTTGATACACCTGAATGTCAGAACTGATAGAAGGTAATGTGTATCAATGTTGGAAATACAGGCGCGCACACATACAGGAATGTATATATACATATACGCGCGCGCGCACACACGCTCCACTCAAACATTATTTGAGGATTGAGGCAAGTAGAAACCGGTTGTTCAGAACAAAAAAAAAAAAGACAAAAGACCTTCACTAAAGGTATTATCGGACATTTTTGATATTTTACTTAAACTGTCCTTGTAGCAGGACTACAAAGATATTTCGGCTATCGCATAAATAAATCTTCACAGCTTGTATCACTTATCCGATAAGAGGAATAAGAAGGAAAAAGATTCTTGTAACGTAATGCACGCGTTACTGAGCATGCGCTGAAAACATTCCGAGGATCGAAACATGACTAGCGATCGAAACGAAATAGATCGAATAGTTCCAAACACAAAACCAAGCGTCTTTAAACTTCGATTGAAATAATACGCGATAAAACGGACGTTAAAACAAATAGGTTAATTGCAGTTGACCTTTCTTAGTCATTCGTCGACAATAGCGATTGTCAACACTGACTGTCCTCTTTGTATAGTCGCGTGCGTATCTTAACGTAAATTTAGCGAACTCATGTGTAACTATTTTCAAGAAAGAACAACCACCTTCCAGAAGGGGAGAGAAGAGAAACCAAGCAGAACAATATTTTCCGAATTTGCCGAATGAGTGGCGGTCTAGTGCACGGACGATATAAAGTTGTGACTAGATCCACACTCATTAAGCACGTTCGAATATAGCAACACGTAGAATGATCGACAAGATTTGATAAAGCGATGCACGCATATTTAATAAGCATGTTCTTTTACTTGAGAACAAGCGCGTCTTCACATCTTGCGATTTGATGTCAGATCAGTCTTGGAAAAAAAAAAATTTTCTATATAAGTTAAAAATTTCTGAAATAATCATCCGATGAACACTCAAAGCAGCAAATTCTAGACGGAGAAAAATAATTCCATAAACGAGTATGAATGTGGTGCACGTGCATATTAAATCGTGACTAGATACATACTCGTTTACGGCAATCTGTCTTGATGTCGGAAGCATTTCGAATGTGTATAATTGAGATATTACATATCTACTTTCATATACTGACGACACATATTGCGTTGTAAGATATACGCGTATATACATGTAATTTATATTTGTGAATATAGACTAAGCAAAATTAGGATTGATTTGTTGTGTGCGTTTAAATATATCGGTAATTATTATTGTATTTATCTTATAGCATTGACTGTTCTACGAATGTATGTTCATTTGTAATGAAAAAATTAATGCGTCTATTTCCCTTTTTTTCGTTATAGCGCGCACGAGAAACTTCAGAGATAGAAACTGAACCAGATACTCAGACCAATAAGGAAACAGTTTCCAAATGCTCGTTTTCGTCAGTCGAGAATTCGTAAGCAAATGTTTTCACGTAACTCGATCCTATTACACGATTTTACATTTCAGAATGAATTACATGTACCTATAATTACAAAATTATAAAAAATAAAAATTGCACATTCATGTGCATAAGTATTAAGAATACTTACACATCTGTATATAAGTATAAACACAGATATAAATTTCTTGATAAAATATTTTTTTATCTTTTGTGTCAGGCAAATTTTTACATGTTTGTGTAAACAAACGGTTTTGCAAAATGACTATGATATTACATGTTTAGAAATCCACAAAGTCATCGCACTATAACAGACACGAAAAAGGTTCTTATCTCCTTCGGTCAGGCTGTCGCGTCTTGGAAGCGAGCAGAAGATTATAATGTCGAAGTTACAAAATCCAATTTTGCACATGTTCCCAACGACGCTAGGTATATGTACGAAATTCTATCTAAACAAGGACGTTTGCTTACATTCGTATGCTATACTATGGGCACCAAGTTACTCAAATTATGGTCAACGGCGAACAATAACGTCACTGAGTTACGTTACGTGAGAAATGTGCGTACCGTGTCTCAGACGAACTTCCGTACAGTCGGTCGCATCATTACAAAGAAGGAATCGACGAACACGGTGTTACTAGAGGGATGCACAAGACGAAACGGTGTTTCGGCAGCTGATACGATTGAGCTCGATTTCCGCAATCTGAAACAGTACTCAGTGTTCTCTGGTCAGATTGTCGCAGTCGAGGCTACCAATCCAGTGGGTGACACGTTATATGTAAAGGAGATTTTCGCAAAGGGATATGTACCATTTGCACCCACGCCTACAATTCAATCGAGAATCAACATCTTCGTTGCAGCAGGTCCGTTTACTGTATCCAACAATATGCATTATGCACCATTGTGGACTTTGATGGAGAAAGTTGCAGCGGATGAACCGCATGTTTTAATACTCATTGGACCTTTCCTTGAATATACTCACCCCGAAATACAGGATAATCTCATTAAAGATACGTATCAAGAAGCTTTCGAAAAGATTCTCATTAGAATAATGGAGACTGTAAGGTAATATAAAAGTGTTTTTTATTGATATATATATACACACACAGATACATGAAATACGATTATATATTTTCAATTAATGTTAATACGGGGAATGTAGATGAAGTGTTAATATTACAGAAACAATACATATGTCGTGATAGTAGCTTCTAATCGCGACGCACATCACGAGCCTGTATTTCCAACTCCTTCCTACTCAGTCTTTAATCGAAAGTTGTTACAAAATTATCAAAACTTGAAACTCATGCCGGATCCTTGTATATTGGATGTCGCAGATTTAAAGATTGGCGTTACGTCAATCGATGTCATTAAACACATCAGCAAAGAAGAAGTATCGTAAGTATTTATCACGAGAACTATATGTGAAGAAGTTATTAATGTTCTTTTCTCATATATTTTTATATTTTTTAAGAAATAATTTTCTTCTATATTAGAAGAAAAAATAAAATATACATTAATAAATAATATATACTTTCAGAAATATATCGGGTATGGATAGGCTCAGTCGTCTGGCTGATCACGTGCTTGCGCAAAATTGTTTCTATCCCGTATATCCTCCGTCCGAGGATCTAAACGTTGACACAGAATTGTGGGAATCGTATACGTTTTTCGATCAACAGCCACACTTGTTAATTTTACCTTCTGACATGCGATGTTATTGCAAAATAATTAATGAATGCGTGACATTGAATCCGGAGCGCATGCACAAACATACTTATGCCAGATTGAGCGTAAAACCGTCTCTCAATGGTATTTGGAGTTCTGATAATATCACATGCGAGATTGCCAAAGTCTGATTATTTTCTCAAATACATACACTCCAAAAACAATGGTACATTGAAAGAATATTTCTTAATTGAAAAATTTGCGTTATGTTACGAAAAAGCACGAATTAATTCCTTCAAGAATTTTGAAAGAGTATGAGAAAGAAAAATATTTAAAATGAATTTTTCCCAATAAGCTTTAACGTGCCTTCAACTCTTGTTAAATTTAACAGTTATAGCAAAATAGAAAAAAAATCTTGAATTGTTAAGTAAAATGTTTGATATTACGTGTGGTGTGTATAAGAGAAACTTATATGTATATGTATACCTCTAATATGTATAGTTTTTGTATATGACTGCTATATAATAAAGTTGCTTTTTAAATGTTTCAAATTTTTTTCTTTTTTAATGTTATTTTTATGCAGAAGGTTTTGTCAATAAAAAGATTTTGTAGTTTTTTTTATATTATAAGTTTAAAATTAAAATTTTAATTCACTATTAGAGGACATTTGTTCGTACAAAGTGCTTTCGATTTTAACGTGCATATGTGACTTGCGTTTTGACGTCGTAAACGTACGATGGCGCCACGCGCACGATGCTGCTGCTGCTGCCTCTGCCTCTGACAAGTTTCAGAGTTTTCTATCGCTGGTGGACGAGCCTAAAATCAGCCATTTTATCATAACATTTTTATCGTATTACGAGTGGTCGCGGTATACGCAATATGGAAAAATCGCGATTGAGTTGGTGAGCTTGCCAAAGGTAAGTGAAATGTAGCCGGTGACACTCTTGCTATTACATCTCAAATCGCGAATTGGAGACTGTCGGTGCGCGAGATAGCCAATATCTACAATTTTGCCAGGTCCTCGACTGCCATCTTCGTTGTAGACTCGTTGTATACTCCGTAATATTCGGTTTCGTCATGTTTTTAAATCACCGTCCGTTTAATTCTTTTCTCGTAATCTTTTGGCCGGGAATACTTGTAAGCGCGTGTGTGTATTGAATAATTCTTTATCTCTTTCATTTCGATCGCTTGTTACGGATCGATTTGTTCACAGTTATTAAACCTCCGCACGAAACAATTTTTGGAGATCGCGATAAAACACTGACAAAAAAGATCTTTTTTAACGTTTCTTGTCGTATGGTGTTGTTTCTGAAATTTAAATTTTAATTAAGAAGGTCTTGGTTCGCCGACTGAATAAACGAAATTTCCATAGTAATAATGCATTACGAAACAATTACGTAGGCGTTACATGTGCGAGTAATGCATCGGCTGCGCTAGTATATATCAGCTGGTACGGTCATCATATAACCTCGTATTGTCACGCTGCAATTCGAATGCTGACCGATCTTGACATTCAAATATCGACTGAGATATCATAGTTTCTCTTCGTTACCGACAGCTTGCTGCAATAAGCAAAAAAATATAATACATGCAATTTTATAACTTTGACATGTCTTGTACTTTACAAATAAGATATTGTAAGAAACGATAATTCGTGTTGTTTTATATCTTCTACAGTTTTCCTTACATCTTAATTTCTTAATTGTTAAAAAGTATATCGTCGCAGTTATTTGTACAAATAACAAAAAAAAACAAACTTTCTTTTTTGTAATTTACTTTAATTTAATTTAATTTTTAATTTTTAATTTACTTTAATTTAATTTTTAATTTAATTTAATTTTTAATTAAAGTAAATTTAATTTTTTATTAAATTAAAGTACATTTTATAGCGTTGTGCGCGTATTGTTTGATTTTTAGTTTATTTATTTAGAAAGAGATTTTATTATTAATATCTTTCTCTCTCCCCTTCCTCTTCCCTCTTTTCTTTTCTCTCCTCTCTCTTTATATATATGTATATATACTATATATATTATATATTACATACATTTACATATATATATATATTTTTAAAGTGTAACATCAAACGCGATCATGTAAATGATACGTGAGAGATATAATAAAGATGTTTCTCGTCGCGCGCGTTCAGCAGCGGAAATTCAACCAGCAGAAAATTGTATCGATTTTTTTAGTTCTCGGCTCCAGACACGCAGACACGTGAGCGTCATCATATGTCGAGAATGCGAGAAAGCGAAAGTGCTATATCGATCCGCTTCGCGCGAAGTCTACCTACCTCAACCCCCAACATGAACGGTGGCCACTGGCAGCAGCTTTCGTTATTTTCTTTTTTCGTCGCTAAATTTTTGAAAACAAGTCTTTTTCACTTTAATGTATCTCGCGCCCCACGCGACACTGAAAACTTTTTCTAAAGTTTTACAAGCTTGTTCTTAGAATACATTTCTCTCATATGAACTGCTATATTATTTATCTTCTCTATCTGTTATTTTCATTATATTACTCAACATTTTTTCTTAAAATTTAAAAACCTAGAGAATTTTTTATACAAATTAGGTTCCTTTCTCATATTTTGTATAAATAAAAAAATATTTTTACACAAAATGAATACAAAAACAATATATAAATATGTATATTCTCTTGTATTAACGTTCGTGAATAGAAATATTTAACGATAATTCGTAGAAAGTTACTTTGGAATCATATTGAAAGTAAAACTACACATGTAACTTATTCTTGGCCACTTGATAATATGACCGTCAAACCTAACCTAACCTAACCTAACCTAATCCTAATCCTAATCTACTGTCATACTTTTCTGCTCTAGTTAAAATAAATGTGAATGAGAAAGTTTCTCAACAACAACGTTATATCGTATCGTCAGTAACCGCGTCGAAGTCCGTTATGTCTACGCCGGTGGGCTGTTTTGGACGGGCGACGCAACGGCTGTGCGCAAAAAGTGGCGGCAGTCAAGTTCAAGGCCATCGCCGTCTCCATCTCCTCTCTACTACCTTCTCGCACCCACTCCTGTCGCGTCTGACATTGCCCCCGCCACCACCCACTCACCTATCATCGTGATATTGCACACACATTGGCGCATCTAATGCCCAGTAGCGTATCAAGCGAGGGTCGCTGTACTCTCTTTCTCTCTCTCTCTCTCTCTCTCTCTCTCTCTCTCTCTCTCTCTCTCGCGGAATCGAGCGAACATCGGTCGGATCCTTAAACGACGCGGCGCGTCGATGCGGAGACGCGAGATGGATGATGGGAGTGTTTCGCTCGATCGATCTACCCACCACGACGAGAGAAAATTAAATTCATTCGTTCATACGCGAATGCTACGTTTGGCATGTTTGAAATACAAGCCCGTCTGAGAAACTGCATGTAACAAATTTCGCAATTGCGTTGAACGATGATAGAGGAAAGAACTCATAAACACAAAATGTATTCACAAAAATGTTCTTGTGAAATATTGTAGACACAATTTTAAATTAAGTACACTTAAGTACAATTAGATAATAAAAACAAATTGCAAATTGATATCTTACTTGCGCGCATAATATCGTTTACACAATTATTAATAAATATCGCAGAAAGATATACTTATCTAATAAAAATATTTTCTAAATCAGTCACCCTATTGTTTCTCGGAAGATGTAAAATTTAGTTTTACAATTATTGAGAAAGAAAGAAAGAGTATAAATTGATGTGCATGTATAGATATAAAAAGTCACATCTCTCTTTCTCTTTCTCAAGTTGACTTGATAAAGTTCGGGGTGCTGTATCCAGACGATATGAGAAGTGTGATGTTAATGACCGATTGTCAATGAACATGATTTTTTACCCAAAATAACGTGACGTTCGCTGAAAATGCTAACAAGAGTGTTTTAAATCGAGACAGTCGCTTTGCTTTATCAGCGATAAGCGCGATAAAGCGGAGATACAACATTGCCTAATAGAGTGCAATTGCACGATAGATGTTACTTCAGATTAAATGAGAAAACTAATAATAATAATTTATAGTAATTTACATACATAAACTGTGATATTAACATGTGTGTCATAATTAAGAATTTAATTATATTTTCATACACGGTACAGCTAATAACTATGGCACCTCTTCGCAGCTACGTCGAAGTGGTAGAACTTTAAATATTTAAAGGAGGCCTGTGTGAAATCGAGTCTGATTTCTCACGTTGCATCGATGTATGTACATCCTGTTTACATAAGTCACAGGTCGCAAACACAAAATCGACTACTCGCATCGGTCAATAGATCGATATGATTGATCAGACATGCGACTTGTTTTCGATCTGCGACTTACGTAGATCGGGCTTTAAACGCAGTTGCGCGCGGGGGCTCATCTCAGCGTCGTCTTGTTTCGCGTCGCAACGCGTTGCGTTGCGTTGCGCCGCGCCGCGAGGATTCACTTAACGCGTCTATGTTTTCGCCTTCGGTTCAGTCGCGTACGGCGCGCGTTGCCGTGAACACGATTTTGTGTTCGTCGGCGTGCGACTATACAGTAACAGACGTCGGTCAATTTTGTATAACGCGGGCGGCCGCGCTCGCTCGTTTCGCGCCGTAAGATAAGTCTGATCGCCGATTGGACGGACACAAGTGCACGAAGTGTGCCGAATGTTGTCGCGGTTACGTTAGTTCCAATTGTGAGAGAGGAGAAAATTGTTGTATGCGCGAGAGAACGTGCAGTTTTTGGCGTGAGACGAGGACGAGGCCATGGACGCGTGGATGTACGATGTGGTAAGTGCCTGTACGGCACTCCCTCTTTCTCTCTCTCTCTCTTGCTCTTTTCTTCCTGGTACATACGTTGCGTCTGTCCGTCTAATTTGTCTCTTCTTCCTCGCTCTTTTGTGCGCGATCTCGTGGCTTTGTTTATGTGATGCGCGCGCTGCACTGCACCGCTTCTCAAAGTGCTTTCTTCAAAGTTCGATCTTTCAACAAAATAAGAAAGACTCATGATTTTGTAATTATTTGCGATTTACAGTGCAGGATCGATGTTTTTTCAAACGAAAACCATACGAAAGTGATATAATATAATTGTCATCGCGATAAATCGCGTGTAATTTCAATGATCTCGATATCTCACAATTTCTCGCACATGCTCGACTTGTATTCGCTTCACGCAACTCCACTTGTCAAGACAAGAAGTATGATGTTCAGGTCACGTAAATCGATATTGATACATAATGAGGCTTACACAGATAACACAATACTTTTTTCATGCTTTGATATTTTAAGTAGTCAAATATATTGCTTATATCGGACAAGTCTCATGACAATAATTGTTATATTATACAATCGTGCCTGGTTATTAGATAATTTATTCCGCAAAGCTAAGTTTAGCTTACTTTACCAAGTCCCTTTCAATATTTAAGACTTATATCTCTTATTATTCGTCATGTGTTTCTAAACCTAAAAATATGATGATAAAGATCAAGTTTTACCGATTATAGGTATTACACATCTCGCAAGATTTAAAATATACCTACATTCGTAGATCAGAGTAATTTTGTAATGTGTAATCAGAGAAGTTTTGTGATGCAAACAGTTCCAAAAACACCAGAGAAAAAATTGTTTGTTATGATTGGATTCGCACAGAGTATAGTGTTGTACTTCGGATAAGAAGATTTTTGTCTTCTCTACTTCTTTGTTCGCTAAGATACCGTCGTATCGTTCGCATTTTAGAAGTAATATAAAAATAAATAAAATTAATATAAATATAATTTAATTAAACGTTGATATATTAATAATTAGCAAATACAAATTAAATGAGAGGAGATCGAATGCAAGTCGGTTGAAACAATGTAGCAAAAAAGATGTGTAAGTGGTAGTCCGTATTGTTTGCAATTATCAGTACAAATATACCATAAAAAATTTGGAATATTATACAATTCTTTTCTGACGGTATAAGACGACAGGAAAAGAATGTTCGATGTTATTCGGATCAATTGCAAAGCTTACGCGAGTGCGCCGAGATTTATGATTATTAATGACGTGTTTATTTTATTTTCCATTACGCTTATTTTACCCTTATCGACATAGAATATAGTATATATTTTGCAGAAAAAATTAAAACTTAAATTCTTTTAATTATTTTTTAAAATTTTGCTTATGCTTTTGGCCACACAAATTTAAAAAAAAATACTTATTTGGAGTAAGATTAAGTACTACTAATTCCCGAGTAATCAGTGAATGAAAAAAAAAAACATGACACAAATAGTTCTTTCCGATTGGTAAAATATCTGCATTTCAGAGAGAAAAAAATTTTTATTTTCAAAAGTTTTTATCGCTAATATTTTCTTACATTTGGAAGAAAGATTTTTTTTCTATAAAATGTGTGTAGTTTTTATGTGAAAGAGAATATTAAATAGAAAGACTATATTTAATAAAGAGTCAATTGATATGCACACACGCGGAAAAATATGCAAAATTATAAGTACATACCTGACGTTTTTGAAGCGTCTTTTTATACGAGTCTCTTTAGAAGAGAATCCTCCACGCAGATAATCTCGTGCATAATCGTGAGCGTGCGCAATTATTTTTCTCTCAAGTGCACATTGTAGCTACTACAAAACGCTTCTCATGTCTTATGTGCACTTGCACACACTTACGCACATCCACGCGATCACGGCGATCCTTACGCAATTTCGTGTGCGTGAGACATCACAAAGATCAAAACAGAATATCGACTCTTATCGTCGACATTCTTTTAGCGTTTCGATATATATTACGTATGAGACTAGCTTATAATGTCAAGACATGTACTTGAATAGCGCCAGTTCATTATTTTCAGCAGCAACATAACGACCCTGTAAAGATAGATATTATTTGTCTCGTCGCGCTAATCTCTTTCTTGCGAACTAAATTGACAGAGAGTTTAATAAGTAATTTATGCAGACACTTGTGTATATTTGCAATATGATCACGTAATTCGTACATTGATGGTGACTGGATAAAAAATATGGATTTTGTTTTTTTTAATTTATATATATTTATATATAAATCCACCCGAATTAACGTCCTAAAAATAGGTTTACAGAGTTTCTTGGATAGCAAAAAAGTATAATAAAATTGAAATAGTCTGTTTTTATTCTTTCGATTGGATGCATATTCTTTTATTTTTAAACGATACTTATTTTTAAATAGCATATAAATTATGCGTTACCTGGGATAGAAATAACATCGCTGAATCGGAGCAGATCGCAATATGATAGGAAAAAATATTCATCGCAAATTGCGTCAGCAGATATTTTCGGGTTTTCGAGTTTTTATCCCGCTTCATGAATTGATATTTTTATATTTTCTAGTATAAAATTAATAAACTACTCTGCTATATATGCCTTGAAAACATTTGCGTCACTTTTGCACGAATCAACGAAAATGTTCGATAAAAAGAATATGAGAGAAATGAGAATGTATAAAGAAATGTGCATTTTTATTGTCATTTTATATTGATAATTTTACATGCAATGCATTTAATTTCTTAGAGTGTCGCAAAACGCATTTGCGATTTACTCGTACGAAATGTTAGGAACAATCAGAAACATGATTAAATTAAGAGTAACTATCTAAGTTGTTATATCATGATTAACTGGTGAGTGTTCTCAAAGTATATTTTAAATTAAGTATATAGGAAATAAATATTAGATTTATTTTTATTCTCTATATGTATAACTATTTTGTTACAAATAGAATTCTCTTCTGTTCTTTTAAAATAGAGCTTAAACAAATGGTTGTTTTTTAATTAAAAAACAAGTGTATCAAAGTAAACATAACTATTTTTATTCATAAAAAATACTTCTTGAAGTTTACATGTATATATAGTATGATATGCAATTATAAAAAAAAATAACAACTCCACGTTTCATCTTTTTTGAGATGATATTACAAGACAAAAACAAGAAAAATATTTTATGCAATAAATCAATAAAAACTACATTTTTTTGCAACAACAAAGTTAACGGTAATATCTTTCCGTTTCGTGAATTAGTCTTTCTATTTCTATTTATTTTTTTCAAAGAAATAAAGTATAATGTGACGTTTTTTATCTCATTGTATTATCTATACATACGATTACATAATATACGATTACACAAGTGGTAAATCTATTGTAATAGACAAATAACTTTTAAAAATCAATATGGTCAATCAAGTGTGAAGAGAACTAACACTGGAATACTCGTGAATTCTTGCTTATTATTGAAAAAGGCGTTACGACACATCACTAGTTGCGCATAAATAAGAACTCGCGAGTAGGAAGCGGAACGTGATCGTGATAGAGTAGCAATGTGAAGGTCGTCGTTACAACGCTGCACACTGCACGTGCATCACCGCGGTGTGATCGTTGATGCGCCGAGAGAGAGTATTCATCCGCGTTTAAACCAAAAAAATCGCTTCTAAGTTCAAATCACACTTTCCATTGCAAAATATAACTTTTAACAAAGTTAATATTGAATGATATAAAGATCATTATTAAAAATACCTGACACTTATATTTAAAAATATAGTATTTAGATAGAAATATAGTGAAATGAGATTCTCGTGCGAGATATGTGTATTAATTTTTGCGATATTTTTCTTTTTAAATAAACAATATAAGATGAAACTAAAAATATAGAAAAAAAGAGGAATTTATTTGACAGAGATAGAAAATGTATTAAAAAGAGTCGAAAAGTATATTAAAAGTCGTAAGAGAATCGAAAAATTATTATCTATAAGTTTTTAATTATTTTGGTTTTAATTCCTTGTTGTGTGTAAACACAGGTGTATTAGATAGCAAACAATCGTTGAATTCTTCTGAATGTTTTTAATGAACCTGCAAATAAACGTTACGCAAAATGTCACTTTACAAAAATTAAAAATATTGAATATCATACAAAACCGAATACTGTCGAATCAGCGATAAAACTATTATGAGTTTGAATATAGTTTCACTTGCATTTAATTATCACAGCACGATATGAAAATATCTTTTTATCGAACTATAATTATGTAATTTTATTTTTTAGAAAGGCATTTTTATAGACCTTGGCTGTCTGCCAGACGTTGTGTTCTCAAGATCTTCGATCGGCTTAAACTTGGGAGTGTACCTGTCCGCCGATTATTTCGCACATTGTCCAAGGTTAGGATTTTTTTTGCACAGCTCTCTCTTACACACACACACACACACACACACACACTCTTTCCCTTTCTCTCTCTCTCTCTCTCTCTCTCTCTCTCTCTCTCTCTCTCTCTAAGATGACGTCATCGACGTCTCATGGCCTTAAACTTGGCTCCCTCTCCGAGTGTCGCTCCGGAGAACGATTATTATCGTTCCCTACCACCAATTCGGCATCAAGTAATTTTGTCGCTCGTTGATCGACAAGTCTATCTCTCGATTTGTCAATTTTTGTACCAGACTCGCTTTTGTATATCTGAACTCTACTGATTATCATTCACGCGTGTTTATATCGACGCAACTTTTTTTTCGAGTTTTTCGGATTTTTTCACAATATAAAAAAACCAATTTTTGTAATAGTTAATAATTAGATAACATTAGAAAAATATTTTATACAATAAATCAATAAAAGTTCCATTTTTTTGCTATAACAACATTACAGTAATATTTTTCCATTTTGTTAATTAGTCTTTCTATTTTTATTTATTTTTTCTAAAAAATAAAAACATGTACAATGTGATGTTTTTTATCTCATTGTGCTTATACATACAAGTTATAAATTATTTTTCAAAATAAAATATTAAAAACAAGTTTATGTGAATGACATAATTTAACGTGTGAATCATTTTCTTATAAATATTTTAATGAAGTTTTTTATAATAATAATAATAATAATACAAAAAACAAGTTTGTTTATACACATATACATAGAAAAGTTAGATTTTTATCAATTTTTTACTGCAAAAGTAAGTTTATCGATGTTTTCTTTAATTATATATTACATATAACTTGTATAGTAAGTAGAGAAAGCAAATCACCGAAGTGATTTATTTAATTTGAGAGAAAGAAAGAAAGAGACTACTTAAACCATATACCTATAATATTTTCCTAAATATTTCCTAATGTACAAATTAGGTCTCAATATTATTTTTGTTTACGAGTACAATATTTTACATTTCAATGTTTTACTAAATCCATAAATAATTTAGAATATTGTTAAGAGCAAATGGTTATTCAGACATAACATTAAAATAAAGGTTGAAATGTCCAGGATTATATATTTAAATTTGTTTATTTTGCACTTACACTTTACGACTGATTCGAAAACGCTCGTTAAAACTTAACATTTGACATTGGAATCTTGAAATTTAACAAATCGAAAAAAGCTCTTAAAACAGAGAAGATATTATTTTCTAAATCGGTAAATTCGGAAAACGTAAGAATATCACGTATTAGAAAATTGTAAGAATATAGAAGCTCGAAGAAGCGCTTTCGGCGGCACACGTACCATTGGACAGAAGTCAATATATATCCACATCTAATATTTAAAGCGTAGGGTTATTCTCGCTGCTGTTTTAATGCCGCGAGATTACATGGCCGCGTTATCGCTCTATTTTTATTAGGTAAGATCGATGTGAAATCGGAGCGTAATTTCCGCCAAGGTCTCAGCCTTGACCGCGACTCAGGGTCTTCATCCTTGTAGGATCGATCTTGGTAGCTCTTTTCACGTTCTAATTCCGCAACTACCTACGTACCTAGCGTTACACTCGCGATATTTAAAGTGTGCAAGCAGACAATTATACAAATAATAATTCATAAATAGCGCTGTCGCGACTTGTTGCAACTTGTGGAATTTATCGAGCAATCTTGACACATTCGTGAATTTCAGGAAAGCGCGAACACATTTGATTCGGTTAATTTAACTCGTTTTTTTCTTTTCTTTGAGATTGATTGAAAACAGAGAAACATCACTTTTATAATTATTTTATTTGTTATTCAAATAATAATTACTTAAATTCTTAAGTTTTTTCTCTGCAAATATATCTATAATTGATTTCGATTTAAGGAAAATGCCAGACTGTATACGATTGTTACCTGTTATGCGCGTATTGTACACTATCGGCCGATATCGCACCTGACAACAGATAGGGAGCTGTTTATTGACGATGTTAATCGTAGCGTATCTTAATTTGTGCAATGCAGGTGATACTGTGTCACCCGCAATTCAATCCGCCTTCAGCGCACACTCTGGATTCATTTGTGTATTAATAAATATGCAATCATATCTGTGCGCGTCTCTTACTTACAATTGACGATTTAGATAAGTGCAACAGCACTCAGAACAATGATATAAAGTTGGAACCCATAATAATGAGCTGTTGATATGGACGTTTTTTATTTATATTTCATCATTGTGCACGCGTTTGTTTTTAATTAATCTCCAATTTTTACTTTTGTGCCGGATAGCTTGGTTGTTTGTTTTCTTTCTTAGATAATTTATTTTCAAAAAATCGACCCATTTTACGTGTCTAACAAAGCGTTTCGAAATAATTGGAAAAGATTCTCCGTCTCAAGAATGACAGAATTTCTAAAATTTATGTATTTTGTAGTATTTTGGAATCTCTATAAAGAGATTTCCGAAGAGCAACTAAGAAAACTATTAATTATATCGAAATTCCGAAGTTCCGTACGCGCAAGAAATAGGGTGCAAGTTTTCAGTGTTGGGGTGAGCATTGGGGTCGTATCGCGCGTAGTGATGCGACGTCGCCGTGCAATGAAACGGAGAGTCATGCACGTATCGGCAGGAAGGTAGGACAGAGGAGGAGATAAAACGAGATTGAGAGGCCCAAGGTCGTTGTTGTCGGCCGTTTCCGCCGACACTCGGTGTCTAAAATTGCGATGGCGTGGCTCCGTGGCCTTCGCGAACACGGCAGCTTCTCAGATCTCTCTCGCATAAAAGTCAAGTTCAAGGCTGGCAAGATATTCTCTTTTTCTCGCCCCCTATATTCTGTGTCCGGCATTTGAGTTCTCAATTGAACGAAGGGAAGAGAAACACTTACGCAACCCTTTCTCTGATGCAAGTGTCTCTCTGGAAACTTGAAAACATTGTAATAGACTCGGTTGCATCAAGAGAGAGATGTTGACATTTGAAGTGTCAAGTGCATTGTCATCAATATTATATTTATATTACATTATAAATTAAATGATAATTATATTACAATTATTTTACATCATAAAGATATAAAAAATAATAACTGAACGAAAGACACACGTAAGCGATTTTTCTCAACGCATTTTTATGCGATATAATAATAATAATATCAAACAAAGAGGGAACATTTGTTTTAATATTTAATTTGTTGCAATTAACGCTTCTCGGGTGCTCGTTGTAATCATATTGAATGATGATCATATTGAAACAAATTAGTGTTTTTACAATTAAATTAAGAAATATGACAAATTGAAACATTTTTGTATTTGATCCTTTAACTATAAAGCTTGGTTGTGTCAACGAAACTAATGCATCTTTTGACTTTAGTTTTACATCGAATTCAACATCGATATGCAGATGTCAAAATAGGATCGTCTAACTTTATATGTAAAAAATCAAGGCTGACTACTTATTAATTCTTTTTTTTCTCTTTCTTCCGTTTGCAAGTTTGGCTTTTCGTGAGCACATGATACAGATGTCAGATCGAGCAGAAAAGACAAGGAAGAAAGAAAAAACTTACGCAATCTTTTCACCGTTCCTTTGTTTATCGACAATATAATTTAAATCGCAGTTAACTGTTAGTTATTTAAAAGTTGTCGAATATCATTATACATATATTATATTAACCCTTCGCACACAGACATGGATCTCCCAAACCTACTCAAAACGGGACGAAAAGTGCATATCGGCGTCTCTAGTAAAAATTAATTATTTTATTATTATTTTTTGTAACTTATATCTTTAAAACTACTAGAGATTGTTTTTTATTTGCTTTTTTCATCGATGCATAATCGTTCAAAAGAATTTTTCAATTAAAAAGAAAAAACAGACAAAATTGAAAAAATATTACTTTTTTGCTGAGATATTTGATTTTTAAGTCGCGTGGATCTCACAGACCAGTCTGTCCAACTAGTCATTATTTTTGAGGTCTGTCCACGAAGAGTTAAGTTAATCGGAATAGAGATTATATAAGAGATATTAATATAAAAATAATGACAGTCACAAAATGTCGAATAAAAGAAATCCAAGAAATAATAGAAAATAATAGGAAATCAAGTATGATTTTTATTTGCAAGTATGATATATAAAACAAAACACAAAATAAATTCGAAATTAGAGTTTTATTTTAAACAACTATTAACATTATCGTTAAGTCAGCAACTTCGAGCAATTATATCTTACGCTCATATAGGATAATTCTTACACGCCACTCGTAACAATGCACAGAAATTTTCTTTTGTGTTCTTTTCAACAAGCTTTATACGCGCATTCGAGTGAAGATCGCGAGTGGGTTACGCAGGAGAAAAGAACACGATCTTCACGTCGAAAACATTGGTAGTGGTATCGCGAATTCTCCGAAGTCAATTCTAAAAATGCTCACGGCGTTGGTCGTACTTAAATATAGCGATCACAAAAAAAGTGCAGCCAAGACTGCAGAGAAAGAAAACGGTGAATTTCTTATTTTTGTGAAACATCGCTTTACTGTTTGTTAAAAATTATCGCATTTTTTTCATGTTTGTCAAAAAACAATTGTGTCTTCACAATTGTAAATCAAGAAAAGTGGATAATATATCACTTTAATATTTCGGAATGTATAGAGATTTGTATGTGCGATAATTTCTGTGTTGTAACAGGTCTGTATGATGTCTGATGCCACGGAAAGCATGATCGGGAATAACAGAACTATGCCAAACATTAAGCAAGAAATCGATAATCCAACGACACCCACACAGAACTATCAAGTATGTTCACCGACTACAACTCTTCAACATCAAGAGGTAATTGAAATTGAAAAGGAAAAGCTCGATCTTGTAATAATTTTATACATATATATATATATGTATAAAATATATAATAATTATATATATTTATATAGATATAAATATATGTATATGTATATAAATCACTTTAATACATTTCAGTCAATATGTACAAAGTTGGACATCCAACAGGATTATGGCGGTAACAGCAATAGTCCCGAAAGTCCGGAGATGCATCACTGCTCGTCGACAACGCAACCTTTGGGAACTCCAGAGGTGCGTTTTTAAAATAAGTTTTTGTGCTTCTACGTTTATACTAAAAATAACTTTTTATAATTGAAGTACTTGTAAATAATAATTATAGGACGGTGTTAAAGAAGAGGATATGATGCCTAGGAGACTTTGTCTCGTGTGTGGTGACGTTGCGAGTGGTTTTCACTACGGAGTTGCCTCATGTGAAGCGTGCAAAGCTTTCTTCAAGAGAACTATACAAGGTAAGTGAAGCTTATCGATTTTCGTAACGAACCACAGTATCTCGTCCAGATAGCACCAAGGACTGTGTGAATGCAAATTTGTATTTTCGATCGCGTGAAATTTGCATATGCATGTTTACAGCAATCTGAGATTCAGAGAGAGACGAATCAAGCGTATGTCTTCTACATTATGTAGGGTGCTATCTGGGACAGAACCGCGTATATTACGATAAAATAGCCAGTAATTTTACAGGAAACATCGAGTATACTTGTCCGGCTAACGGTGAGTGCGAGATAAACAAACGAAGGCGAAAAGCGTGTCAAGCCTGTAGATTTCAAAAATGTCTTCGACAAGGAATGCTGAAGGAAGGCGTAAGGTTGGATCGCGTCAGAGGCGGTCGACAAAAATATAGAAGATCCACAGACCCTTACACGCCGGTGAAAAGCGCCACGTTGGAGGGTACTTGGTTTTATGCATTTTTTATGTCGTTATATCTTTCTATTGTACAACCTATTTGTAATAAACCTATTTGTAATAAAGATAAAAATCTCACTCATAAAAGACACTATTAACTTCAAATTATTTGATGTTTCAAGCTAACGTAGCGTCAGAAGGTCCTACTGAAACGATAAGTAAGCTATCGAAATCATTTTCGTGGTTTTTTTGTTATTATGGAGTTTAGCTTTTTTCTCAGATTTATCTCTTATTTATTTATTACAACTCATTGTTTTGTAAAATTTAATTTACGCTTATTAATGAATGCTATTTTATAATCTAACTAGCTTAGTTGTGGTATAATTTAAATGAGATAGCATTATATGTCTGTTTTTGCAGATAATAAGATGGTTGAGACTCTGGCTGCCTGTGAACCCGACATGCTTCAAGTCGCCAATATTTCGCATACGTTAGAGACTGATCAGCAAGTTCTCGGGCAATTATCGGATCTTTATGACAGAGAATTGGTCGGCATAATCGGTAACTATCGGTTCTAGTGCACGCGTAAAGTTTTTTTTATTTAGTTTGAGACTTAATTTGTCCTGCAGGTTGGGCCAAGCAGATTCCAGGATTCAGTAGTTTAGCGCTGAATGATCAAATGCGGCTTCTGCAGAGTACTTGGGCCGAGATATTAACGTTTACTCTGGCGTGGAGAAGTACACCAAACAGCGGTAGATTGAGATTTGCGCAAGATTTCACGTTCGATGAGAGACTCGCACGCGAATGCCATTGTATGGAACTATATACGCACGTAAGTGTTTCTTAAATATAAATTCTATATCTTTTTATTGTACCGCTATTCCGAAATATCTCTTCTTTATATAGTGTATACAAATTGTCGAGAGAATTCAGCGATTGGGTCTGACACGAGAAGAGTATTATGTGCTGAAGGCATTGATTCTGGCAAACAGCGATGTCAGATCCGACGAGCCGCAAGCGTTGTATCGTTTTCGTGATTCGATATTGAATTCTCTGTCAGATTGTGTAGCAGCTGTGCGACCAGGCCAAGCTCTTCGCGCCACGCAGAATATGTTCCTAGTGCTGCCTAGTCTCAGACAGGCCGATGGAATTGTCAGACGGTTCTGGTCCAGCGTATACAGAACGGGCAAAGTGCACATGAATAAGCTCTTTGAGGAGATGTTGGAGAACGTTTGTAATCGATGAAACTCGCATCATGCACGACCGTCGCAGATTCGACTGCTTGTCACTGGTTGTTTACCGTAAGCTGGATAGCATATTAATCAATGTGACTGTTGTTACACATTGTTACTGATTACCAAAATGTTTCTAATATGCTACAGCATCGAAGACGACAGTGAGTGATAGTGCGTGCGTAAATTTTGAACAACAAAACAAAGAGTTATCTCTCAGTCCTTTTTATTTTATAATAAACTCAAAAATCTTTATCTTTTCGCGTGCGAAACAAACGCTGAAAGGAGAAACTTTCGTCAGTGTCATGTATTGCTTCAGAAAGATAGACACGTAAATTTTTGTTTGAAGTATCCAAACTTTCCTTTTTAAGTACCCCATATACAGGTACGGAAAGAAAGAAAGAATAAAAAGAGAGAAAGAAAGATATATAAAGCAAGAAGGATGCATACCATAAAACGATAACTTTTACCTTGGAACATGCAGTACAAGATGCGAGAAGACTTTTTCAGATTATTCATCTTAGTATAAGTTAGTGTGCGAAGTCAATGATTGGCTTTATTGTCGAGAATTACCAAATAAAAGTGTTTCGTGATTGCAACACTAAAGAAAAAAATAATAGGAATCATATAAAATGTAGTAACTGTAGATGTTTAACGTTGTATTAATAACGTCGCTGGTATTAAGAATCGAAACAATCAAAATTACTGTGAACGCCGTTTTTCTCGATCATTTTTCTTTTTTTTTTTTTAATTATCTTTTATTCAATGTATTATCGTGGGAATCCAAAATCTTCTCGTGCGTTCCCTTCTTTTCTCAGTGTATATTTGCCTTGTTTACATTAGCACTCGTAATTATTAATAGCTTAAATGTGAAAAATTGAGTAATGTTAATCAGTATATTTGTGATAGTTGTATATTGGACATTTATAGATGTAGCGATCTTTGTACATTATCTTAGAATATATCTTTGTACAATATGAAACAAAATCAAGTTAACGAAAATTACGAATATGAAAAAGAACGAACAGAACAGCCAAAAGGTCGCTGGATTCATGTTGCTTCTACGTGATATATTCGGATTTTAAATTAAAAAAAAAAAATTATTAAAATAGATCGTCATTGATCAGATTATTGCCATATTATCACGGTTTCCCTAGTGATAGATTTGTTTAAGGGATTGTTGAAAATGATGGCGTTGTTTGCTCGTGCCACGCAAGAAAAGGAGCAGGAAAAATATATTATCACACATTGCTATATTATTATAATTATTAATATTTTTATGATTATATTAATATACGATTAATATAATAATAATTATTATTATTATTACTGCGCTATTAGTATATGTATTCAGGGATCTTTAGTATATTTAGATATCATCACTGTGTAATTATTATTGTTATGAAATTAGCGAGCAGATTTGTGCGCATAATATTACGATCATAATATTACGCTACCAATGCCTTTCACTACATAAACTTTTTATGGAAAGAACAAGCTATAAAACAATTGAAAAGTTTTAAGAAGCTTTGTTTATGTGTGACGATTATTAATCGCGAGCCCACAGTGGTTTTTACCAAGAGTTTTCGATATAAGAACTGTAAAAATGCCCGTCCAACGCAGAAGTGACCAATTCAGATTTGATTCCTGTTCTGCTTTGTTCAGTATTTTATTGTTTCTTAGAATTAAAATAACGACAAAAATAATGCGTTACTTAAAAAAAAAAACCGAGATTTCGATCAATTATTTTTTCAAAGATTAAATTGGTAAAAGAACTGGTGGTCCTCATACTTATACATCGCGAGACTATCGTCATATAGAGTGCAATAAAATCAAGGCGCGCAGTTTACTTTCATTAATATTAATACGCATCTTTTAGGTTCTTTAATCTTTCCTTGATGTCACGATTGTTTTGTCTTTTTGTTCTTAACTTGCAAATATCTATTTCTTTATTCTTGCTGCATTTAAATTTTATTAAAAAATTAATTTTTTGCGGCACATACTTCGCACTCGCTACTTTTCGTTGCGTCTTTTTCTAGCAATTTCCATTTTGTTTTTTGTTATTGCGAAGTATTGCAATAAAAAGAGTAAAATGCAACAACAAAATGGCCGTTATGGGTTTTTAACGAATTATAATTAGTTTTGCAAAAAAATTTATCGAAGGAGTTATGGTTTAATAATCCTTTTTTATATGAAAAATATAATGCAAGAGATCGATTTTCTTACAAAATATAAAACAACTTTAAACTGATAGTAGCATTTGTGTGCAACATTGTCCAGATTTTTATTTCGCAGAGTTTGCGCTTCGCTCTGTTATACTGTAATAATTAATATATACGTGTATTTTCACAAACTCATTAAGATATTTTTAATCTTTCAGAAAAAGATTGTTCTGAAAACACTTTGCTCTGTAACGTAATACCAATTAATTAATGTTTTCGTTTTTGTTTTCTTGTTTCCGTTAAGGCCAATGAGCTTTCCCATTTAACTGTGATATTCGCGTTACTGAGCGCATTATATCCACATAATCGCTAACTCATACTATATATGTTTTTTTCTTTTTCTGTATCGCTTTGTTACTATTAAATATTAAATATACTTTTCGGAATAATCGGAATCATTATATTTTATATTTTATTGCGAGGTGTTTCTGTTTGTGCGATACATGCCGCTGAGTTTTTGTCGAAAAAAATATTCTTATTTCTTTACTGTTATTATTATACATTCTTGATTTGGATTTTATCAAAAATCTTACTTTTTCTCGATAAGTTTTCAATCAATTTACTAACGATTGTGCAGCTCCTGCTACTTGATACTGCAAAGTTACCTCTCGATCGCGCCGGCGCGACATAAACATAAAAAGTTAACGATGATGCTAAGATGTAATAAAACAAACATTTTTGTGTACATTGCTTCAGCAAAGAAGGATAAAAAACGTAAAAAAGGTATTTTTATGCAACTAATTTTGATGTACCGCTAAATTATGGAGTTTCATACTTTTTCGAGCATTTTCTTTGTATATACACTCGCCGATTCACCGTGGCGGTAGAATCGTAGTCTCAGGGTTGCAAACAAGCAAACACGATACAAACCTAGACACATATAAATATTATAAATAGTTAAGAGTGTGAGTGTAATTGCCGAACATTAATAGTAATTATATAAACACACACACAAAATAGCTGAAATTTCTTGTCGTGAAGTGTGAAGGTAGATTGTGTGTGCGCGCGCGCGTGCGCGCATGGTGTGTATAAGTCAATCTGAACCAAAAAGATATATACCAGTTTTGGCAAAATTCGTAATATTATTTGCGTTGTTAATTACTTAATACGAGGCAATGAGCATTATTAGCTAGACTTTGTAAGCGTATATAAAAAAATAACCATATAATTTTCAGAAAATCAATAAATCAATATCAACTGATAGTAAAAAGGCCGTGCTACACGTCGCTCGCTGCGTTACTCTGCTTCTGCTAGGAGAGTTGCATGAGCTATTTTTCTTTACAACTGGAAATCATGATTTTACCTACATCTACAGAATCCAAGCCATCACTTTCCATGAGCTCATATTAATTACTAACGTAATAGATATTGCGTATTTTGCAAAATGACTTTTCCAAACGACCCAGTCTACTTTCACACTTTGTGCCAAAAAGTTTCAGATATCTTGTATAATATAACAATAGATTTAACAAAAGAACGGTACGTTAAAAAAGTGGTAAGCGTGTAACTTCACAAATGAAATTATGAAGAGTGACAGTAAGCTTTTATTAGAGAAACAAAAACCGAAAAAAGAAATATGGAATTGTGAAAAACGCGTGTGGATATGTTTGTAAAGTTAACAACAACAAAATGCTAATTTTATAAAATTCAACAATTTGTAACAATTTATATTTAAAACAATAGAATAACAGTTTACTTATTTTGCTAATATTATTAGCATGTACACATACTATTACGCATGTATGTATAATATACATATATAATATACATATATTGTGTGTCTGTATGTATGTATAATATATATACATACAGACACACAAACTATACACATATATATATACACATGTACACACACAAAATATCATATTCTAAATCTAAATTGTTGAATCGTTGAATTTTGTAAAATATGCTTTTGCGTATGTATATGTTACTTGAAACTTGAAATTGGATTTAAGATTTGTAACTGATTTAAGATGAACGTGATTAACATGGGAATTGTTATTTCCTTTTGTTGAGATCTTATATTGGAAGATGGTTAGGTGCGTGTATTTATTATAAAAAGTTAATTCAAAATATGTTTTTGTAGAGAACAATGTGATATGACGTATCTCTCTTTTTCTCTTGTACAATAATGTTTTGCGTTGTTCAAGACAAGGATGCAATAATTGTGTACGTTAATAATTTGTGGTGAAGCAAGTTACTTCATGTTCATAAATTGATTTTTGCTCTTTTGGTTGATGAGATACATCTACACTCAAAATGTGTATTATAAATAATTTATGTGTAAACACGTATAGGTGAAACAGCAAGAAACGTGAACTGCGATATTCTGAGATTTTTTTATATTTATAAAATAAACTTTTTATAAAGTGTAGTTGAATAATAATGCCATGTTTGCGTTAAGTTTTTTAATTATAAAATTTGTGCTATGTTAAAATGTTTGTTTAGTTTTGGTTGTGTCTTATGATGTATCGCTTGTGTCGTCTTCTCGAATCCGTCGGTAAAAATCGCATCTGTAAAGAGAGAGATGCTGTTTCTACAATAATTAAAATAATATAAATATGTGGATAGAGCCACACACTCTTTGTAATTATAACACGTTAGATTCTTCTCTTTATAGATAAATTTTATATGTGCGTATGTAGAGAAAGAGAAAAAAAGAACAAATGAGAAAGAAAGAAGGGAAAAAAAGTAGTTTGGTATATCGACGAAGAAGCAAGCAAATATAATAGCATTAATATTGTGTCAATGTGATACAGTTGAAAGCAGCACTTATGTGAAATTTCATAATGCGCGTAATTAAAAATAGTTGTATATATGACAGAAACAAAAAAACGACAGTTGTATACATGTACAATTAAGATGGCGACGTCAACAACGAGATGTTAAAAATAAAACAACAAAAGATACGCTGTATGGAACTACCTCGGTAATAGTGTCTTTGTTTTATTATTTCTTTAACCCTTCAGTGCCAGATATGGGTCTCCGAGATCCATCCAAAAGTTTTAAACCAATGTATCTACTAGGTATTAATTTAGCGCGACATCTGAAGGCCATGAAAAAAACTTTAGGGAAAACCTTGGACAATGGTAGAAATCGTTGACAGCGCTCTTCGTTTAATAGGTTTGCGAAGTTGGAATTTTGAAGTGCAAAAAGGATCTGAGAGACCCAAGTCTGGACAAGACGTTGGTATTTCGAAAAGTAAGAAAAGTTTTTTTCAGTTTGTGCACTTTTAATATAATAAAATTGTTTTTTTCATAATTTTATCAAGAGTACATTTAAGGCGATTTATTACATTATGGCGCGCAGAAACGTTTCAAACGTTTCTTTGAAACTACTAGAGATTTTTCAATTTGTTGTTTTGATCGACGCAGGATTGTTTAAATTTTCTATTTAAAAAAAGAATATGTCTAAATATTAATTTATTGCTAAAATATTGTATGTCAAAGAATTGGGTGCTAAAAAAATGCATTCTTCAAAAACGTCCCAAAAGACTCATTGTGAAAATGTGTTTAATTTTACAATTTTTAGAAGACACTTTTTTCTCTAAAAGTACGAACGAGTCCGTACAAAACTGCGTTGGAATTTTATAAAAATCTTAATTACACAAAAAGTTATGAATTTTTAAACAAAAAGCCTTTTTTCAAAAAAAAATTGTTAGGTTTTTCTTTAAACGCTTGTATCTTCGAAACTATTAGAGATTTTTTCAATCTGTTTTTTTTGATCGACGCAGTATCGTTCAACCTTACGACTAAAAAAACGACTAAAAAAAAAAAAAAGATAGAAAACTTTGCTTTTTGCGGACATATTCAAACTTAAAGTCGCGTGGATCTCATAGACCCTGGACAATTCGTAGGTTTCTTATATGGTCTGACAGTGAAGAGTTAAAGAGTTTGTTAACAACACGTGACTAAAGTATATATATATAAAGTCACGTAACTTTAGTCCTATGTTGTTTTTTCTCTCTTCCTTGTCACGTGATCCTATTTTATTCACGTTTTTAAAGACACGTAACTAAAGTAAAATCACGTGACTATACACAGTTACAACACGTGATTATCTTACGCGCGTAATCCGATGCATGCTTATTCGCGGATCTTTGTTAATTAAGATCTCGGTAACTATTGCAAATCTCGCAAAATGGTATAGGACTTTTCAACTCAGATTCACTTTTTTTTATCTGCCTACGAGAAATACTAAACCAATTGTCCGACACCCTGTATATATGTCACTGATTACACATTATTTACAGATTTATCGCACGCTTGGAGTTAATAGGAAAAGATACAAAATCAGGCCAGCCGACAAGCGGAGCCGTTGCAATCAATTTTTTCGACAACAACTGACTAACTTTTCACTTTCGACAAATGACAGACTGTTCTCTATTCTGCCTGTTTACTAATGCAGTGGCCAAATTCGAGCATCACTTATCATATACATGAAACTTGCGTGGCAGAATACGATAAGCGCAACTGCTGAACTTGATATTCTTAGACAACGCTCTTAAACTATAAGAAATTTCTTACATAAGTTACACAAGTTAAAAAAGCACAGACACACACAATGTAAAATCTTTTTTTATTTATAATTAGACAAATAATTTATTTAAAGTACTAACTGGCATAAGGTGTCGTATTTGAAGTATATTTTTCTCGATTGTAATTACGTGTTTCGTTAATATGTAACACACGCTGTCTAAACATTTGACTCGTGGAGTGTAACGGAAGTTTTGCGAAAACTTCGAGTGCGCGAATCGCGAGATTCATTGAAAATGAGCTTTAACAATTCAGCAGTAGCTTATTTACCCAGGTAAGTGCAATCGGAGACACGAGATTTCTCTTGTAATCAAAGTCGCTCGAACTTAGTCCGATATATACGTTTCGTGTCTATTTAAGTTGGGATTTAAGCTGAGAGGAATAGAGAAATGAGAGAAGAGAGAGAGAGATGATGATGATGAATTTATTGAATTGCCATCATTATGAGACCTGGATCTGCTCTTGTTTTACTATTGACTATTTTGAGGTATACACACATTCTGTTTCACTGAAAAAAATTTTTATTATCACTCTCAATTTTTAAGATACTTTTTGAAAACTTGTTGGCAATAAAATTGCGCATTTAGGAAAGTGGGTCTGTTTTATCAATAAAACTGAATTTTTTGTACACTAATCTTTTTTTTAGCTGTATAGATTGATAAATTGTTTTCTACAATTAAAATACAATAAGGGATTCGGAAAGTTCACAAATACAAAATGTAATTATGTTATTTAAAAAATTATAATTTTTTTCATTTTATTACATAAATTTGAACTTCCGGGATCCCTTATTGTATGTATTTTAACTGTAGAAAAGGATTTATCTCAATCCATAGAGCAACAAAAAATTAGTGTACAAAAAATTCAGTTTTATCAATAAAACAGATTCACTTTAGGATTTCCTTAATGTTTGTTATAAGCACTTAGTAATTTTTTTCTTTATTATTAGATGTAAGATTCGTTCAAATAAATTGATTTCAGGTAATCTTAAAAAAAAAAAATCGGGAAAAAGAGTAATACAACACATGAATATAATTTTCAATTTTTTAATAAATAAAAATGGGTCAAAACAAAGATTTTTATACAGTAAATAATTTTCAGATAGAAGCGTTGTCGCTAATATTCTTCCATGTGTCTTTAGAAAAAAGACACGTAAAAATATATGAATGGTGCAAATGATATCACGATAGATGAAGCATGAAGGAAAGAAGTGAGAGAGGATGACCGGTATTGTGACGGGAACAATACATGCTATTTTTCCGCATTTTGCACAACGTTCTTTCGCGATGTTATCATCTAGTAGGGCTCGGGTTTTACCACATGGAGAACGGACGCGTTCGCACATATCTTGTAACAAATCTCAATAAAATTGATCTTTCGATACAGTTTTACTTCTTTGAGCGACATTTACGTGAAATGGTTTGCCAATTTTCAAAGAATTTACAGATCAATATAAGTTGTTCCACGATAGATCAACTGTCAAACTTCTCGCTAATTTGGTTAAAAAAAAACAAAAAGAGATACTTGAAAAAAGAAACAAAAAAAATGTCTAAACAAAGATATAATTAAACTACGTAAATATATATTAAATAATAATAGAGATAAAAACATATATAAAAACAAGAAAAAATAACTTAGCACACCTTGAGGCGAAAATATAAAATAAAAAAAATATATACTTTTCTTTTATTGATTTTTTACTGTGAAAAGAAATACGTTTGTTCAAACTGTATGTGATCACATAGTTCCATAATAAAGTAAAATCTACATTGTATATATTGTATATAACGTGCGTCCTATTTATTTTATCTACCGATTTTGTCACCTTGAATGTTTCGCATATATATACTTGTTGTTCCCGAGCGAAGCGCAGTTAGAACGTGGAAACACGTTCAATCGATGGTGGCACGTACGATTGCGCCACGACGTTTCAATATATCTATTTTCGATGCCGGAATATCGTCTGCCACCGCACGTGTTGCGCGTCCCGCGGAAATATATGAAGAATTCGCGGCCCCATAAGAATGAAAATTTATACGATGCGATGGGGATACGGTATTATATTCGGACTCGCGTTATTGGCAGCAATTGCACACACCTACGGTTCTGTGTGAACTGTGCTATACTTAGAATTTACGGTAATTCGAGTTCAATAAAAGCGGATTTTATCATCACGATATTAGCGAGAAGCGCGCACCAATTTCCGAAGCGTGGTCGTTTCGAAAATAAATTATACGAGCGTTTTTCAAAAAGTAATGAAATCGTCTGGAATTTTATACAGAATGTAAATAGCTTGAATTGATGTATCTATACAATGAATGTTTAATGGCAAGAAGTAGCCGCGAGCGAGCGCGGAAGTAATCGGCGAGAAACATCACTTTGTTAACCAAACGTAGATCAATCTGGAACAATAAGAAAGTTTGGAACTTTCAACGGAAGCATATCTACAATTACGGAGAGAGAAAGAGAAGAAGGAAGGAAGAGAGAGAGAGAGAGAGAGAGAGAGAGAGAGAAAGCAGAGAAGACGCGGGGAAAAGTAAGCTGAGAAACTAATCATGACCTCGAATTCAATCGTGGGATTTCTACGGAATCACCGTTTGGAATTACCGGGCGGTGCTGAATCTGGCGCAGATTCTATCGCGCAAGCAAGGTCCTAATATTAATTTCAATCTACATAAATGCATAATAATAAATTCAATAGCAGGGCAGGGATGTTCGCGATGTCGCCGTAAGCGTGCGGATATTACAGCATTCTGAAAGAAAATTCTTCCCACGACAGTAAATACTTTGGGATACGTGGCCTATGTACAAATTTTTTTCCTTTTCGATAAAAATTTCAATGTGAAATAATATTAATTAGAATTTGCGCAAAATGCTTTTTTTAATAGTTTATCACCAGTCCGCGCTCTGTTCCTCTAAAGAGAAACTGTTCGAGTTCCTCAAGTTTCGAAGCATCCTTTCGTAACCGTCCGTACTTTGACTCTTATAGACATCGCACGATGTGTAGGTAATTGTTACCTCGTCTTAGAGTTGATTATAGTAATTTTCCTTGCTTCACCCAATTTCCCTTGCTCGCGGCCCGTCGTCTCTTTATGTAACTCCGCGTACCGGCATGGAAATTACCTTCGGCATCATCGTATCGTGTTCGACAAAGGCCAAACGAGATTGCAGTCGCAGGATAAAAAGCAAAGGTAATATTTCAGTTGTTTCGTTCTTTCACGGTTTTGTTATTTCTCGTTTAACAATAATGTGCAATCCTCTTTTGTATTCTTATTTGACCGTAAGAGTACACTATGAAGACAACAAAATAAAATGTCGCATACACAAATCTAAAAAAAACAAAACTGTTGAAAATATGAAAAAAAATTAGATACACAAAATAAAACGG